GAGGAAGGAAGCCAACGTGACATCGCGTCTCAGTGCCAACAAGTCGGTAAGCCTTGATCACCTCTTCGACTTCATCACCAGCCTCGTTGGAGAACACAACACAGGTTTTGAATATGAGTACATCATTCTCACAGATTGTATCCCCACAGATCTCATGTGAGACGCATGAGCGCGTCCCATCGCCGCTGCAGACACCAACAATGTCCACGGCTCGGAGCTCCATGGGTGGTTTCGTCAAATGTAATATCGTTCTTGGGCGGTGTAAACAACCAATTGTTGCACGTGTGGGTGCAGGAATCCAACAAAACGGGTGGTCGTTCAAGTATAGTTAATTTTTGTCCATGGGTGCACGAATACAACAAGAAATCGGGGGTGCAGGAATAGCCAAATACGGTAGGTTGAATTTCTTCTCGACTGAGAAGATGACATGGTCTCAACCAAGGCCAAGATCAACACACAATCTAGCCCACTCAACCAGTGTGCCTTGTGCCACTGCGTAAGGCGGGGCTTGCCTTGCGTTTCTTGTAGGTAGGTAGGTAGATCAGAAAGGACTCGGCGAATCGTACGAGAAGAAACATTAATATGAAAGCCATTTTTCATCCTACTTGAGCTCGATTTTCCTTCAGAAGCATCACGCAGGATTCGACGGATCTCGCGTATATCCAAATTGGACTTGCTTTCTGGTCGATATGCAACTGCTTATATTTGGGGGATTCTAAGAATCTTCTAATAGTCCCCTTTGACGCAAACAATTCTCTGGACATGCGCCGGATCGACCATTTAGACTTGTGAATAACTAAGATCGAAATCCTGGCTGCTCAAGTGTGAGAAGGACATCTTTAGGCATCTGCAGGTAAGTTAGTGGTGCCATAGTTCATAATGTAAGCATACAGTAGCCGGCTTTCAGAGCTTTCAATGGTTTTTAACACATCCTTGTGTTGCTTGTAGGCGGATTTCAATTTTTTTAACGTGTTTTGATTGGACAAAAAGCAGCAAAATATAAACAAAAACACAAGGGAACGTGTCTTTCATGAATAGCGTGTAGAAGGCGAGCGGCGACGAACATGCGGCCAGAGATCAGCCAAACCGCCGCACTGGGAACACTTACCTTGGTCGGTCTGTATGTCGGGTGCGTGTTGATGGGGTGGGCAATCGATTCTCTCCATCCTGTCAACGACAGAGACGACACTGAGGTTGATCCCGATGCGCACAAGAAGACGACAATGCGTCCACGAGACCAAAACAATGTATTCGACCTTGTCCAGGCACTGCATGATCCAAGCAAGCAGGTCGTGTTGTACACTGTTCGCCGCCTTATGGACCTGTCGGCCTTCAGTATGACCAATCCTTGGTCTGCATGTGCCATTCTTGATTGTTGATGTCCCGCAGAGAGCTTTCAAACGCAGATTGGAGCGTACGGAGGCATCGAAGCTCTCGTGAACCTCCTGCTGGTCGATCGTACCAGTATGGACGACGAAACCAACGCCTTGACCATTGCGATTTTCCTTACGTTGAGCAATCTCACTGTTCACGGTTCCTTCTCCCGCACATTCCCTCGCTCATTGCATCGTCCTAGCCACTAACCACAACGTCATGCACGCCGCGAATCTGGAGCGCGTGGTCGCGGACATATACGACGAGCCATCGTTGCCCATGGCGGTCAAGCTGCCCTGCCTCCGCCTCATGACCAACCTCGCCATGTGGTGTAAGTACAGACTTCCTTTCCCTCTGGCACCCTGACACGACAAGGTAGCTGAATCGTCGACATGGCTGCTGGATGCACCAGTCGTCCACACGCTTGCGGCCGACTTGCTCTCGTCCGCTTCCGACGACTGGACGAACGGGATCCTGCAGCTGTTTGCGAACCTGACCGATCCCGGTATGGCAAAGATTCGCGTCCATCGGCAATTCTCATATTTGCCGATGAATACGCAGCGTCCATGTCGTCTGCGGGTGACCGGGCGGCGATCGACAGCATCGTGGATGCGACGGTCTGTTTCTGTGAGCTCGAAGGCGAACACATCACGCCTCGCCAGCGCGAGAACGCGCAGTGCATCCTGCGCAATGCATCTCAAGCGGTGCTCAGTCGTCCAGTCATGTAGATAGCGATTCTTAATTTATTCCATCCTCCGTAGCATTGACTAAAGCGAGCTCGTCAGTCGACATGGCATGCATCGCAGACTCTGCCAACAACTCCCACATGGCTTTGGTCATCCTTGGGAATTTGACTGTGGCGTGCGTGGATGCGGGAGGCCGATGCAGCGCCAGCGCGTGGCCACCCGCCTGACGCAAAGCACAGACGAGATCGACAGCAGACTCGACGTCGTGCTGGGCCTGCAGCGCTCGCATGAGCCCTTGAATCTCACCTCTCGTCCAGCCGAACTTGACGCGTACGCATTCGAGTAGACCACGTAAGCAAGTCGATGGCGCGATCGACGACATGCCAGTAGTGTGGCGCACGTTTGAGTACATCGTTGGCTCACACGACAGGACAGGTGTTGGCCACGTCTACGGGTTGGAGTGAGTTTCATCGAAGGCATGGGGCTTGGATGCATACGTCGAAGCTAGCTTGAAACTTAGCCATGAGCACTGGATATTGCTGGCGTAGGTACGATTTATGCTGCGCATCGCTCTCGGCGTACAAGTGATCGCAAAACTCGGCTTCCGACAGAATCGATGCGCTCCATTTAGCGTCTTCGGCCGCTTGGAGCTTTTCAAACTCGGCCCACCACGCGGGCGACCGCAGGTCGTCGTCGATATTGTCGTTGTTCGACACAGTCACTTGTGCAGTACACTCGCAAGGATCACTACATCGATGTTCGTCACGCCGCCGAAACGTGAGTAGGTTGGGACCCTTGGGAGCGGCGCGGAGTTGATAAATCACGTCAACCATGGCCATGTGCGTGATGTCGAGGCCGTTGATTTGCTCGAGCACGTCGTCCACTGCAATCGTGCCTGCATCTTCGGCAGGTCCAGCAGTGCCATCTTCGGCACGAACAAACCCTTCCACGAGGACCCGTGACTCGTCGCGCGTGAAGTAAATGCCAAAGCCATGGTCGCCCTTGTGCACCTCGACCTCGACGATCATCGTTGTGTCGGTTCAAGATTGGACTTGTTCAAGTTATACATGTAGTACTTACTACTAGTAGAAAGTGGTTTCAGGACTGCCTTTGTCACATCACCCGTGATTTTAGTACTACTACGAATCTACGAATCGACACAAAACAATTCGAGAGAGTGGGGGGAACAACGACGGCCTAACAGGAACCGCTCCATGACGGGCAAGATGGCCACCACTTCCAGAGGGTAGGCCGGGATTGTGCTTTGGTATCGACAGGCTTGCGATTCATGCGGTGGCTGTTCAATGCCATGTCACCAAATTCTATCTCCATGCATGTCTATGTCCTCGCCCAAGTCGAGCGACGCCGGATACAACCTGGACATATTCCATCGAGATAGTACCGCCGGTGAAACAATGATGGCGCTCGTACAAGGCACCCAGGAATGGGTGCGTTTGTGCTGCATTAGCGTCAAATCGTGTCACCTGATACGTTTCTTCAACAAGCTCTGATCTGCTCCTGCATCCAAACTGTCAATGCTCGCACTCCTCAGATTTGGCAGCGACACCACAATCGGTTGATGGGGACCTAACCAGGCCTGTCTCGATCGTTGGAGGTCGTTTACCACGTGCCTCACCTCTGTACGACTTCTTCATCTTTTGCGTCTACACACTCAGTCGGGAGTACGTTCGTATGGTCGAGTTGCCGATTGATAGCGCACTAGAGCGCCATTCAGGCGATATGACAAGTCTACACAGGAAGCATCTTAAACACATCAAACAAGTTGCGTACATGTCGGCGCGTGGTCGTCAAGGTTGTTCTAGGTGGATATCCTTCAACATGACCACCGACGCTGTAATGAACGGACGCGCCGTCGCGGGAGACCGTTCGGATACCTATTTTTATCCGGATGCTACTGAACGTGCCGTCGGGCGTATTTCTGCAGCCCTACCCCGCTCAAATATATAGGAGTTTGTATGAGTGGGAGAAGGGACAGGAAACGAGACGCGATGTGATTGGCCAATTTATTTCTTCCAAATTCTGGCGCGTGGGGGCTGAGTTCTTCCTACATTTTACAAGATATTTTAAATTGAAATTCCAAATATCCCGTGCAAGGGGTAGGGCGAATTTAAATCCCACGGCCAATCGACGCCGCCCGCAATAAAATACCAGTCCACATGCGGAGTTTGTATGTCATCCAAAACCATTTTTTTTTAATTTTCAACCCTTTGAAAATACATATGTACTTGCCTCCTCCCCTTGCCGCGCATCGACGACCGTCGAGAATGCTGCGCACTGGACATAAACATCCTTCACGTGCGTGGCCAGCGCTGCCTGAGCCTACGAAGACACCTAGCGCGACGTGCATGCGTCCGAAGAGAGGAAAAAATTATCGTCTTGGCAGGTGGCCTGTATGAGATGTGCGAGGTTTTGCTTCGTTTGAATTTTCAAGGCGCTTTGTTTTGTCGACCTGTATTTTATTATATTTTTAACTCCAGCCTCTGAACTGCGCACACAGCGGACAGAGAGCGCAGTCCACGGAGTCGCCAAGTTCGTGTCAACAAGCGCTAGGAGATCCCGCCGGAGCAGCGAGATAGACGTACGTGACCTGCTCGTCTACCGCACTCTCCCCGCATTATCCATCACACATCAGCAGAAGACGTCGCAGTCAAGACCGCTACCATGGACTCGTTTCCGGGCCTTGAATTTGAAAGCGACATCCTGAGCGACATCGACTTTGGCCTCGGGTCTGGCGGCATGGGGGGCATGATTGGAACCGGGCTTGATTCCCCTGGTAACCTGCCCTTTAGCGTTGGGACACCCACGGGTATTGCGAGTCTTGGCTCTGGTGCCTTTCCAGGCATGCACAACAACACCAACAGCACCGGTCAAAGCAACACGTCTACCGCCCAGACCAACCCGTCTGGAACCAATTCCGACATGAATAGGGACGACGGTAGGTTCCACGACGACGACGGCATGTTCTTTGGCAGTGACATGGGCAAAGAAGAAGACAAAACTTCGTCCAAGCCTCCGTCCGTCCATCCACACCACAGCACGACCACGTCATCCAACAACAACCTTGGCCGCGGCAGCAACATGCCAAACAACAACAATCCCCCCCACATGTCGCATGAAAAGCCGAACAACCAAAGTCAAGGCGGGGGACCGTCAGCAAATTCCATGCCACATCACCAGTCAAGTCATTTGGGGAACAATAGCGGCGGCCGAAAGGACTCGGTTAGCGACACTCGACCGCACAGCAATGGCGGCGGGCCTTCTTCCAACAACCCGACAAATCCCAACGCGCCAAAGGGTGTGCCCGGCGGGGGCGGCAGGATTTCCGAGAGCAACACGGAGCTTCTGAGCTCACTACTGCTTCCCGACAACAGTGGACCTCCCATGAATATGGGAATCGCGAACCCCAATACCCGGCCCCAAATCAACCAAGGCAGCAACAATGGTCCAGGTCCGCATAACATAAACAGCCACTACGGACAACCGACACATCAGCAGCAACCACTCAATTACGGCCAGGGACCGCCGCCGCCGCAGCAGCGCGGGAACCTCATGATGGGGTCGCATCCCGGCAACCCCTCTAACATGTACGGCGGGTACAACCCCTCTCATACCCAAAACCGACCACCACAAACGTACCAAGCACAGCCGCAGTCGCTGCAGCGCACTTCCAGCATGCCCGGAGGACAACTCATCCGGCAGTCGTCCGCCCTCTCGACCGGCGGAAGCAACCCATTCCCGACTAACTACGACGAAGAACTCGCCAAGCTGAAGAGCATGCTAAGCGCTCAGCCCGACTTGATTCCCCCGCCACAAGAAATTTTACGTGTCACACAGCAGCTTTGCATGGCCAACATGCAACGTCTCCAACAACAGCAACACCCCGGCCACCCTGTCAGCGGGTACATGCAGCAGCCCCCGCACATACAAGCCAATGGCATTCACATGCCAGGCAGCAGTCCTCCGCAAATGCCCCCCGGGTATCCCCCAAGTGGCCCCCCACCGCCGACTCGGGGAGGCCCGATGCCCAACCAGCCCCACATGAGCATGGACCACCGGCAATCCCTGTCTGGCGCATCCATGTCGTCTGGAAATGCCTCGGTTGGGGTGCTGCCGTCGCGTCCGGGGGTGTCGCCAGCGTCGGTTGCGTCGGTGGGCCAACAAAATCCACCTGCCAACAACCAAATGGTCGCCCAGCAACCTGGTGGTGCCAACAAGTCGACCAACGTATGGCAGTCGGAGAGCGATGTCCCCCTTCGACGAAAAATGATCGCCAAGATTGTGAGTTTGCTCCAGCAGCGCAAGCCCGATGCCCCGACCGAGTGGATCCGCCGGTTGCCTGACATGGCGCGCCGTCTCGAAGACTCGCTCTACCGCACGGCCACGGGGCGGGAAGTGTACGGCAACTTCAACACATTAAAGTCTCGGCTGCAGCACTTGGCCGTCACGATGGGTGCCCGTGCCGCCAAGGGCAATGATCCCAACAGTCCAAGCGAATCGACTCCAGCGCCGAGCGGCGCCCCCGCGCTCATGGGGTCCAATGGTCCCCCGCCGCCGCAGCAGCAGCACACCGGGCCGAACGGCGGTGTGCCTCCACCAAATGCCGCTGGCAGGCCAGGGGGGCCTCCCGGCAACATGTACAACCCGTCGCAAGGCACGTCACAACAGCCGAACGGTGGCCCGACGAATGGCCGCATGAGCCAGCAAATGCAGCTCCAGATGCAGTCTCACATGCAACAACGGCAAGGCATGGCAAACAACAACGCGCCAGGTGGCCTGAACAAGGTATCCCCTGGCGCCCCCCCCAACTCGAACCCACCGCCTCCAGCCAACCCGCGCCAGAACTCCGGTCCGCCCCAAGCGAACACCCCTGCATTTCGACCAAACAACGCGAGCGCCATGCAACAGCAGCAGCAGAGGGCCAACATGTATGCGAACCCGCCGCCGCCGCAGCAACCGCAGAATCCTCGCGTGGCATCTCCAGGCAACACGAGCATGCGCAACATGTCGACGAGCCAGCCGCCGGCGACCCAACGGTCCACGTCGATCTCGAGTGCCCGACTCAGCGACGCGCTTGGCGACATGGACTCGACAGACTTTTTGGATCTCGGCATGGGCGACGACGGCACCGACTTGGGAGCGGAGGACCCGATCGATGCGCTCATGCGAGGGAGCAACTCGTCCACGGCATCGGACAAGGACAAAAGGACTGCGACGCCGTCTGCTTCGCCCAAGCCAGACCCGAAAGCGGCGGCCAAGCGTCCGATGCCCGCCGCGCAACAAGACAGCCAGGCCGCCAAGCGGGCCAAAGCCCCCGCCAAGCGAACGCCACGTAATAACAGCGCCAGTCCGCCCGTAGTCAAGACGCCCCCGCCATCGGGAACAACAGCGGCATCAAAGCAACCCCCGACGGTCAAGACGCCGCCGCCGCCGCCCCCTGTGAATAAGTAGAGTGTGCTATGTTCAACCATGTCGTTGTTCGAGTTTGTGGCGTGTGTCGGGCGGTTTTGGATTGGACAAAACAATTTGTATCGTGTCGTTTCATTGGGCCAATTTTATGATGGAGCCACGATTGGACTATATATTTGCATCATTTTGACCAATGGACGAGCATCCCATGTGGATCGATCCGACGCGACCGTTCACACACAATTGATTTTGTCGAAGCCAATGCCACCGCCGGCATTCACCGGTCGCGACAGCTACCAGCGCCTCCAACAACTCCAAGACCTATGCATACCGGACGACGAACGAGGGTTTGATGCCGTCCTTCTCGTGGGCGGTGCCGATGGTCTGTACTCGCCTGGGTCCCAAGCCGCGTTGAAGTACTTGTTCCTGGGCAAGTCTGGCCAAGACCTACTCGGCGAGCAGGTGATTCCCCAGCAGTACGAAGCGCTTGAGGACATTGTCATTGTGCTCACACGCACGTCCGTCTCGATCTTTTACATCCTGGACAGCGACAGCGCGACGTTCCTTCTCCCGTTCGTGAGCAACTGGCGCAACGTCACCGAGTACGTCGCGACGGACGACATGACGCAGGACGTACGAGAACTCACCAAAATTCGCGCGTTTCGGTCCATGGTGGAGCCCCATCGTGTGATTGGAATTCCCCTCCACGAACCAGGAAAACCATCGAAGGAGGCACCAACCGCGGAAGCGTGGCCCATCGTCCAGTCGTTCGGGCTGGACGAGTTTCACCCTGCAAGCACCGCCAAGGGCTTCTTCAGCATGCACCACAGTGTCGTCAATTGCGCCATGGCGCTGACGGCTCGACTCACGGACATTGACGATTTCTTTGCCCAGCGGCTCGTAACGGATGCCGAGCCGGCGTTGGCACACCATTTCGACGGATTCCTCGCCAAGCTGGATCATGCCGATACCCCCGCGGCCCGCGGCGCCTTCACCGAAGCCGACATTGCGGACGATCTGTCCAGCTTTTACGACTTTGGTACCATTCGCCATGACGCGCGTGGACTTACCAAGTCGGCTCACCGCGGCGCGTCCGTGCATTTTGGCACGCGCACCAGTGCAGCGCCATCCATGCCGTCGTCCAAGACCGTCCTGGCGCATCAAGCGGTAACCCAACGTCGCGATAACCCTTGCTTGAATGGACAGTGTGACACCACCACGGTAGGGAGTGAGCGGGCAATTCCCAGCCACCCATTTCACGGTCGTGGCGGAAGAACCGCTCACGGGCCTTCGTGTGGGCCGGACGTATTTTTTGGGCACCGGCAAGTGCGCCGGGCGCATCGTTGACCCGGACGCACTGGTCTCCCCCGGCGACGCCACGTTGGATCGATACGAGTCTGTTCCAAGCAATGCACCGGATACGCTGCGATTGATCGCGTTGTACACAAAGTTGCTCGCGGTGGGGTGTTGGCGGCGCTGGGCAGCACGTCATGCGTGTTCATGTAGGTGCATACGTCGACGACTCTGCCAGCGGTCGTCGCCAGCGCCAAGGCTTATGGTACTTGCCAACCACTTCTCTGGCCTACCCACTGGAACACGTTGGTTGGTTGCAGGAGCGAGTCCAGCGCAATGGGCGACCGCGGCGCACGAGGCCGCGATGCACGCGTTTCGACTTCAGATCACGGACGAGTTCGGTGACGCACCAGCCTCGCTTGCCACGCAACTGACGGTGACTGTCGACGTTGTCGATGCTTGCGGCGAGTCTGTCGCTGCCATCGAGCCCCACGCGAGTGCGTGCTGCACTCTGTCGACCCGCTTCGTTCTTGACCGCCCTTGTAGAATGGAGCCATGCTTATGTAACAACATCCATCGCCGCTGTATCGAGGTGCGTGCTCTATGGGAAGCCATCCGACGGCCGAGCGAAATGCCATGAATTGACGCGATGTATGGGCAGCACGGTGGCGAAAGGGGCGAATTTGGGCGCGCTCGTGGTCGGCGACTCGATCCTGGTCGACATCGGGACCTGTGCGTTCTTGGTCATCACGGCGGCATCGTTTCCGGCTTTTCGCACGTGGATTCAACCGGGCATGGAAGCAGACCATGCCGCGCATGTCGACACTGTTCTGGCGTCGGATTATATGGTATGGCGTTGTCCGATGGCATCGCTTACGTTGGGGATGGCAGCTCGACCACGTCGTCCAGGTCGGTCGACCGATCCGAGAGGTGGTGTCGCCCGCGCCCGTGCTCGTCGACAGCGACCACTTGCACGTTATCCAAGGCTCGCTGCAACCGTATGCCCACGTACGTGGTGGACGGCGGTGGCGAGCGCGCATAACGTGGTGTGTTTGTGCAGGGGTTTGTGTTGAAGAGTCCCCACAGCCACCCACTCGTTGTCTCATTTCCGACGCACGTTCGGTCGCTGCGCGTGCTCTCGACGCCGTACGACGAGCTGCTGTTGGTCGTCGTAGATTTTGTCTCGACCTCGAATCCAGTAGGCGTTGTGGTCGGTCCATGGGGTGGTTCGATTGATCGGGGTGTAGGTGCTGGAGTGGCTCCCGGGCGCGGCGACGCCTGCCGCGGCCTCGATCGCGCTGCCGCTCGTCGCGGGTTCTCGCATGCAAATTTGCGTGTTGGGCGTCCTCGACGAGTGGAAAGCCTCGGCTGCTGCCCACGACATTCCGTTCCTAAAGCCAGCGACCGGTACACCGGGAAATTCGTGTGCGTTTGACCAACTGAACCGCGATGCGTAGATGCGTTGGAGCCGATTCCGCTGGGGTTTCAACGTGGATGCGATGCGCTGCTGGGCAAGTCGCCCGACTCGGCCACCCGCGATCGCTTGTTTCCCCAGTGGTGTCTTTCAAAAGCGCCGTCGCCAGTGCCGCCGTCGTGGACTCGACCCACGTCGATGGCGACGCTCGTTGTGCCCGTCACCGTCTTCATCGGCCTGCCTGGCAGCGAAGTGCAGTCGCTTGCCACTTCTCTGACCGAGCTCACTGCACGTGCCAACGCGTACCGCCGTGTGTCGTCAAGAATAAGCGCTCACATGTCGATGGGTATAGGTGGCACCATGTCGTTGTGGACACGCGGGAATTGCCGGCCGACGCGGCGGACACGGCAGCATGCATTCGCACAAAGGTCGCCGACGCCTTGGCATCGATTACGAGCAGCGATGTCGTCGGATGGTTGCGCCGGCCTCGCATTCTCGTCACTGTTGTCGGTACGCTGCCGGCCACCTCGACGCCCGCGCCATCAACTCCAACGTAGGCTATGTGGACCCGATTGGCGTGTGCGCCGCGATCGAGAGCACGGACAGGTCGCTCACGTTGAGCACAGTCATAGCCGTGGTGTCGTCGGTGGCCGTGACTGTGCCCGAGTCGGCGAACCCATTTCCAAAGCTGTGGGATCAACTGGCGGCGGGGTTCATCACGACAATTGTGCTGACCCACACGCAGGAACTCGACCACGTGTGCCTCCACCGGCTCCGGACTCGCGTCGACGCGGCGAATCCGTTTGCGGACGTGCTGTGCTTGCGGTCCAACAGCTTGGACGGCGACTTGACGGCGTTCGTGGCCCTCGACGAATTCAACGCCCCCGACCGTCAACGATACCGCGACGTCCACTTTCCGTCGTGGCAAGTCAAACCGGCGGCGTACGCCGCGCCGCTGCCGCCGTCCGTCTCGGCCGTCCGATTCGAAATGCAGCTCCAACTCGACCGCACGCGTTTCGTTGCTTGCATTCACGTACACTGCCAAACTAACACGCCATGGCGTGACGGGTTGGTGTAGCGCGGGTTGAGCCCGACGTCGACGCTCCATTCGATCGCACCGGTGCATCCGGCCCTGCCGCCGCCCCAACTCTCTGGCTTGCGACTCGCGCAGGTAACGAGGCTGTCGAGCCATGAACGACTCGAATGCAGCATGGCCACTTGCGTCCATATCATCGCGCGCGCGTGTGTACAGCGCGAGGACCCAAGACCTGCTCATGCCGTTCTCGGTAGGCGCTGGCGTTGGAAAAGGTCACCCAAAGCACATTGCTGGGAACGACCAGCGACGGCCATGGCGTTGACTTGGACGACGTTGCCGCGATTGTGGCGCACGTCGGGCAAGTGTGGACCGTCGAGGCGTCGCTTGCATTCACGGACGACGTCCACCACGGGTACACGTACTTGAGCACGGGAACCAAGTCGTTTCTGCGGCCGCAGTCGTCGTCGGTGCGTGTGCTTGGCATGAAAATTGTCGTGCTGGTGAGAACGTCATGATCATATGCTAGCCCCCAACGGCATGCACGTTTGCTTTTACCGGGGCCAACCTTCAGCCGGAGAAACTCCGTCAGCTCTTGCTGCAGTGCTGTCCGTCGCGCCATCCCGCAGTCGCAGCGATTGAGTCGGTCACACTCGACGAGAAGCGCCGCATCCAAGCGCTCCACGTGACGGACCCACTTCCCGATGGGTACATGTTTGACGGGACGGCATATTACGACTACTTTGGAGGGCACCACGAATTTCATCCCAACATCCAACGCTTCATCGACGAGCACGTTGCCATGAAGAATGCCGCTGCATCGCGCCAGAACAACGAGCTCGAGCAGGACCACCTGCGGTACGAAGAACGCACCAAGCAATTGTGACGTTAGCCACGGTGCCGTGTTCATAATGCATGTGTTGTATTGCAAGACGGGGTAGGCTGGCGCGCACATCCTCCCGACATTTCCATCTTGCATGGGAGGATGTGCGCGAGTCGAAGCTGCCATTGAAGTCACCCGTGGATGGCGCACCGCCACACGGAGAACGCGGCAACGACCGCGTTGGTAGTTGCCACGGTGTGATGCCGTGGCCAGGTCGTTGTCGGCGAAAGTTTTGCATAGAGATGTGTATGGCTCGTCAACGGTGATAACGACGAGGAAGAGAGCCATCTTGCGCACCACCCCGCATAAGGAGCGAAGCGCTACGCCCTGGCTCGGACGAAGCGTCGACGAGCGCCGATCCAATTCCTGCAAGGGCACGGTGTGGATGGCATCACGTGGAAACATGAAGCCGTTTAGTGTTATCGACAACTTAGTTCAAAGCAAACGCCGTTTGCTGCCGACTTAGTCTTCGTTCAGAACGAGGCGAGGTCGGACGCCGATCTCTTCCTTCTCGTACACGTGGCCCTCGCCGTGGTGGTGGTCGCCGTGTCCGTGGCCGTGGTCCCACGGATGTTCCAGTCCCTACTCTCATGTGAAACCTCGTGCAGCGACAGACTACACACGGACGTACCAAAATGACAGCGCCGTCTTCCTTGGCGCGGTGAAAGATCCACAGCCAGGTCAAGACACTAAATGCCAGGCCGACGTTTTTGTGGATAGGGTCCACGTGGAAGTGCATGCCATGTGGGTAATGGCCATGGCCGTGTCCATGCGAGGCCATGCCGCGGCGCTGGACAACGCCAGCGTGCGAGCGGAGGCGGGCGGTCACTCGGTGCAGCATTCCTCTATTCCCTTGCCACGAAACCAGTCAATTCGCCCACGCCCCAGAACTCGAAACCGGACACAATGCTTCCGTATCCGGATAATGTCAATGATTGGCTGAACAAGATGTATTTGTCCAACCAAAACACTCGATTCGAATATATTCAACAATTTATAACCAATCCAATGTAGGTGTAACTGGCACTCCGTTCAAGTTTAACGTATCTTGTGAGCTGGCGCGATGGCGCCGCCACTCGGCCACGACGAGAAGGTCGACCTGCTCGCTTTAGGTGACCACACGCTCACTTCGCGCCTGTTCATGCGTAGAAATGGCTCCATTGGCTCAACTCGTTGCCCCTGGCGAGCTGTTTGCTAGTGGACAGCTTTGCAGGTCTCCAGAGCGGGGACGTCCTGTTCCAAATTGCCGGTGCGCTGCAGGTAGCTCACCGCCGCTTCGATGCTGCCCACTCACGTTCTAACTAGACACTGCAACCGCCTTTGTTGAAAGCGTCGGCGGCAGCACAGGCGGCACACAAGATCCAACAAGTTCTGAACGTTGTCATGCCACATATCCCAAGGCATGCCAGTGGGTACCAACTTCGTGATCCAGAGAGCGTTCTGGACGTTCTCGACGGGCACGTTCCAGCCATCTGCACCGTCCTAGCGATTCTCAAGACTCTATGGGTGCAACGTCACATTCGCCTCCAGCAAAAGCTTTACATCGATGCCCAAGTTGACACTCTCCAACACACGCCGCCGCCACCCCGTCGTCCTACCAAACATCCTCCGACGAAAACCACTGTTGCTGTATCATACCCAGCGCCAGCTCGCCTCGTCCCGAAAGCGTTCCGCCCGCCTTCAGTCGCATGGAACACGTCGACGTTGGTGGAGCCAAGTGGCACCACGCACGTGACAAAACCCTCGACTACTCCAAACCAAGCTCGCCCCACGACCGCTCCGCCGCAACAACGTAAGCCGTCAGGGTATTGTTCTTTCTCACGAGGTCATGTGCAGCATTTCACGTCCAATACATGATGGATCCACTGTGGATTACCCCAGACACAAGCGGAATCGGGATTCGACCAACTCGTCAACGCCCCAAGGCGCCGATCTTGGCCCTGCCCAAGGCGTATGCCGTCTGTCGATGGCTTCGTTCCCTTGGCATTGCTCTTCCATTCGACCGACTGCCTGGGGCCGAAGCATGTACTGCCGAAACGTTCGTGGCTCTCTCTGGCCGCGCATTCCAGGACGGTGTCATTCTATGCCAAGTGGCCGCAGTGCTCGCGTATCGGTGCGTGGACCGAGCAATGCAGTGGCTAACCACGACTACTCGGTCGTTAGCTCGGGGCCGCCGTTTGTCAAGTCCAAGCTGCGACCTCTTGTGGACCAACCCGGCCGATTTGTTCCCCAAGGATGCTGCGTCGCCCCGCAGAACGCAGCCCACAAACGGCACAATGTCCAACTCGCACTGACATTTCTCCGGCAGCTCCACGCAATCCCGTCGACGCTAGTCCACGTCGACGACCCGGACCATCCCCAATTCATCGCCGATGTCTGGCACCTCCTGCATCGAGTGTTCAAACTCTCGACAAAGACCAACGCGTTCGCCGCCGAATCTGCTCTGGAGTCGTCCCCGTCGAACGAGCGTCCCCCGGCAAAGCTGAACAGATTGCCATGCGTCACCGTCGAGCAAATCCATCGCGTCCGCGAATGGCTCGACTCGCTCGGCTATGCCATTCCTCTGCAAGTAATATGTTGCAACTGTCGTGATGTCGGGTGGGAATTGAACCGCCCCGTTTGTACTCTAGCGCCCAAGCCTCCTACAGGATGCCTTGCGCAACGGATCACTGCTCTGGTACTGCTACATCCATCTCTGTCCCGGCGCCAGAAAGCCCCTTGTCTTGACGACGGAGTGTAGCCACTTGATCAATCGGATGGCAACCATCCCGACCCCACTTCCTGTCCACAACAAACCGTCGACCCTCCATCAAGCCAACGAAAACGTGTTTCGTGCATTGAGTGCGCTGCGGGCGCTTCGCCCGTCGATCGCCCCTGCCATGTACACTCGCCACGCCGAGCCCATCCTGAAGGGCCAGGGTCACGTTGTTTGGGGGCTTTTGTATTGCATGATGGAAACATTCCAACATGTGCCGGCTCAAACCGCGCCGTCCGCGCGTCCCGACTCGCGGCACACGACGGCCGCGCTCGCCGACCACAAAGTTGTGTTGGTCGAATGGCTGCGGACGCAAGGATATTTGGACCAACTCGACGATGTCAAAGGGCGCCCGACGTTTGACGACGTCCAGGTGCGAATCGACCGAGCCACCGATCGACGGGCAAGTCGTGATGTTTTGTTCCTGCCGCCGTTAGGTGCATCTACAAAACGGCGTGCTGTTGAGCCAGTTGGCGGCGCGCGTGACCAACGTGCCGTTGGCAGTCAACTTGCCACTGCAGTCGTCGCCAATTTCCAAGCAAGTCGCATGGAGCAACATCCAACACGCGTTGGAGCTCCTTCGCCACCATCCAGACATGCCGCAGCGTTTTTTGTGGTGCGAGGAAAAGGTCGGCGCTTGTCGCAAGTTTGCGATGACAGCACGCTGCTCTAGATATACGCTGGCGAGACGCAAGTTCTTGTCGGCTTGCTGCAGGACATTCGACGCGTCCATGACAACGCCGCTGCCGTCCAGCCCAAGGCGCCTCCACCGACCGCGTTGTCTGACCCCGTTCGGCCGCCGTCGCCAGCAGCTGCCCCAATTTCCCCACAGACGCCTGCGGACGACGAAGACGACGCCGCTGGACTTGTCACGTGCTGGCATGTTGACACGCAAGTGCACAGCACACACCAGTGGCGGGAAACAGACATCGATCCGTCCGAAGATCTCTTTCCCCAGCGCCACCATCCCCCCGACGCCCCAACCGGCGACCTCGCCGTCATGTGGCACGTCGACGACGACGTGGTTCCCCAGCCTCAGCAATTCAAACTCGAATCCACGTTGGTCGAGCTGGCTTCGTGGCTGCAGTCGATGCACGTCGACGGCGCGCCAGCCACACTGGATGTACGGGCTTCACCGTGAAAAATGACAAGTCATCGCAACGTCGTCGATAGGCACCGACGCTGCCCCAGTTCCAAGACGGGCTGATCCTTGTGTCGCTCATCGAGCGGGTGAATCACGTCCGACGTCTCGACGGCGTGTGCCGCGCCCCGAACGGCAAGCGCGCCAGCTGCCTGCACAACATTCGCAAAGTGCTGGACTTGCTGCGGCAGAAAAAGGTGTGCCCCCATGTCCATGCTCGGCCAACCTCACCCACACACATCCAGTCGATGCCGCTGACGCTCCTACGCCGCGACAAGGACATCTTGGCTGGAAACCAGCAAGTGATTGTGGCGCTGCTCGACCAAATTCGACGGGTACTGCTGTGCTCGCCCTTTTTTGCATGACCCGTTCGTAGGCGTATGGACACCACCTCGCCAAGCCGTGACAATGATGCGAGAATTTGCCACCACGATGCCAAACCACGGGCTCGTGGTCGTGTGTCGATTCGCGCCAAGCTGTCTCGGCCACAAAACGACCCACGGAATCGGTCGGATGCGCACGGCCCATGCCGAGTCCACACACTACGTTGTTAATGTCGTCATATCCTGCACATGGATGCTTTGCTCATATCGAGCAACTCTGGACGAAACATGAGAAGGTCGTCGAGGAGGGACCAAGGGATGCCGAGGCGGCAGGCACGATGGAGTGGTCCAACGACTGCGGTGTAGAGTACAGAGCAGATATACCGTCGATAGCGACGGTCGACGGGTTTGCGATTGTCCTGGCGGCGCCGGTGGCTGCTCCTGACGTGGCTCTCTCGAGCCCGAATTCGACGTCGTTTTCAAAACATGATGGCCGTCTGCTTGCTTTGACGAAACCTTCCTGCCATCGGAGAACGTCGTCGCGCCAAGTGACCTCGAGCGACGCTGCTGCCATCATGTCCCCATTGAGTGGCATCGCTAGACCACGCCGCCCATGTCGTGCTACGACACAACTCAAGCAGCGGTCGGTAGCATGCCGGATTGGTTCGTAAAAGCGACACGTGACCAAAGCAAACGAATCGGAGCATGCATTTCAATTCAACCTCGAGTTGGCTCGTGAAGCATTCACACCGACTTGATCGAGTCGCCGGGGATCGATGCGGCCGTCGGCGATCCAGCCCCATCGTGTTCGTCTGACGAAGGAACAGCGTCCATAGCCGGCACTTGCTTCTTGAGAAAGTTGTCTTGGACCTGCCGACCCACCCTGATAAATCTCCAAAACGACTCTTGACGACGCACCCAGAACTGGAGGCCGTTCATGAGCACGGGGCACGCAACCATCACGATGACGAGCTCGACCTTGGGATAACTGGCCAACGGACTGAAAACCCACTCGGCAACGTCGCCCAGGGGAGTTTCAAGCCCAAAGATCACCGACCCGATCAGGATCTTGGTGGAACAGATGATGGCGAGCCACGTGACGAGCTGAAGGGCCCAGACCCTACCAACTTGGTTCACTCGCCAGCACCGACGGTCGGATGCACATACCGCACTTGGATCGGGTGGCCATAGTCTCCTGGCACTTGCAGCGCCGACACACCGTGCTTGATCTAGGCCACAGGCATGAGCTGGATTGCAACGTCGACAGCTCCAGCACCGCGAAGAGGACGAGCGCCTTCAACAGAACGTAGTTCACAGCGACCCCCAACGTCGTGTCCAGAGTAAAGTTGATAAAGTAAAATGCGCACTGGGCCAAGGTCGTGAGCTCGGGAATCGATCGGGATGGATCGATCGACGAACCTGATCGGCGTCCGTGCGGCCTTTGGCCAAACCGGTGAGGGCGATCGCGATCGCGAGATTCGCAGCGTGCGCGACGCCTGCCCCAATGAGTTGCTTGGATGCGTCGAATATCCAAATCTACGATGGCGACCGAGGGTCGGACGACGACGTTGGGACATCACCTACGAACCTTCATCGGTCGCCGCGGATGTTCGTGGTATCGCTTGAAGATCAGCACCGACAGAGCAATGAGGCCCAGCATGACCTGGATCAAGTCGTTAAACGTGCCATTCAGGAGCGTGCATCGCTCCGCGGGAGCGGCGATCGAGACGTTGGTTGCCATCGTGGCTATTCCGTTCGCCCACGTCGTGCTTCTGCGCCGCAAAGTGCATGGCACGACAAAACCTACACTCTCGGACCATACAAAAATCAAGCTATTGGAAGTAGAGTGTTGGTCCACGTAACCACCATGGGGGTTTCAGATCCGACCGACGGCACGCCATCATGCAGCGAGACCAGTGCCTTTGACATGGCTGCTGCAGATTATACACTCGAGGGCGTCGGTGCTCGCTTGTTTCGTTTCAGCCATTGCCCTCGGTGTTTGGTTGTGTCATGGACGATTTCGGGAGAGACATCGACCAAGCAACGTCCACCGCTCCGCTATTGAGTTGTGGTCTCGCTCTGGCAAGCATGCCGTTGCTGTCGCGCATACGCTTGCTTCTAACGTGCGAAAGTAGGCTGCACTTGCATGCACAGTGTGGGATGCTGCTGCGGTTGCCCGGCGACAAGTACCTTATGGCGGATTGGATTGGGATGGCGTCCTGTTTTGGCTTATCCCCTGTCTCGTCATGGGAATCGCATCGACCAGTATTCGCCAGTGGTTCAAGCCTACTCGCTCGAAAGCCACGTGTGTGCGTGCACGCCAGAAACCACTGCTTCGACGCAATTCGTTTTGGTCGCGTAGATGCTCATGTTGGCGGCCTTGACGGCCACTTTACTGGTCTTCGCACTGCCTCCCTCAATGTTGCGAGTTGGACTGAGCTTATGCTGCTGCCACGAGAGTCTGTGGTAAGCGATTATTTCGTCGACGTGTAGCCCACGACACGAGCTTCGTTCTAGCCCGGACAACATCGCCAACGTTGCGCCGGTTGCCCTCAATGCGTGTGAAGCGTCCATGGAGCACTGGTCAGATCGCACATGTGGCTACCAACGCATCGACTTTGTTGTGTAGTGCGAGCGGCGTGTATCGTCAGCTGCTTCAACTCATCAGTGCGTGGTTGGCATGGTTGTGTGTGGTATGTATTGCATCGTGGGTTCGCTAGCCGACGCATCCCATGGGTAGATGCACGCGGCTGCAACTCAACGTCGCATATACGACGACCTAGCGCGTGGCGGGCCCCTTGTCGCATCCGAGACGCACCGCAGCATGCACTTCGCCCCCCTCGGGTCCAGCCAACCCTTCGCGCGCGATGTCCTGTGACAACCAGCCCGTCGGAATTCCCGAGCTCAAAAAGAACCCATCGCAGTCGCTCCATGCGTTTGATTGGCCAAAAGTCGCTCCAAAATGAAAAAAGTCCAAAATTTTGATTTTTTAAAGTATTTGTCAAATATCTTTTAGTTTTGGAAAAAATGAATTTGAGTTTCTAGACGAGATGTATTGTAGATTCAGCCCAAAATCGAAATTTCCTGCAAATTGTACAAAACACGCTCCAACTCACGTCCAATCGAATTACAGCACTTGCAGTGTGCAATTCGTCATGTTGGAAAGAATAGTGCTCCAGAACCACGCGTCCGCCGACACCAGGATACACTGCTTGTATGGACATTTCATGTTGGGCTTGTCTAAGTCATACTTGGCATATGTGTATGGCAAAGCACCATCGACCATATCGCGTTGGATTAAGCAGTACACTCATAATGGGTCGACTGAGAGGCTGGAATCGTCCGCCAAGTTCCGGAAGTTCGACAGCCAAACGAGAATAGATCCTACAGCTTTATCGTGAGGACCCCTTGCTCTATCTGGCAGAAGCAGCAGCGAGGTTCAGTGCCCACTTTTCAACATCAATCAGTTCATCAACTCTTTGGACCGTCTTGCAGAATGCTGCTGGCATGCGTCGAGGAGCGAGTGATAGAAAACGTCTGAAACACACCAATGAAATCGTTCTGGACAAGTATTTTGAAGTTTGTATTGCGCCGATTGTGCGTGAGAAATTCTGCGTGAGAATTATTGGCGCACCATTTCCATTTTCAACTGACGCTACAATATTTCCATAGAATATATTGATTGGCTGCTTGTCACACTCGACACGTGGAAAAGTTTGAAAATTACCCACTGCAAGACTCGATGGGGCGTGCGATGAAGGTAATGGACGCATTCAAAAACACGTTGGCATCTGTGTCGACACGCAACGCAAGATGATTCGACATGGAATGTCGTGCATAACCAATGTCGACGGACCGTGTTGTTGGAATTTGGTCATCGTGTGTTAATGCGATGAGCAAACATTTTTTGACATAAAACTATTTTTTATTTAACATTATATAATATTTGTTGTTATTATTTTGAAAACAAATTTTATCACGAAAGTGAATGACATTCGACTAATTTGCCTGTTTTTCGCGAATTATCTAACACCTCCGCAAGTGGGATTTTTTTTTCAACCGGTTAATTTGTCTCCACTTTGCTCGTTTGATGAGGTTTGCGGCAGTCGGTAGTGCGGTAGTTGTCGCTGCGGCAAGTTCCATCGCAGGTGGTGCTGCTTCGCCCCGAGGACTGGATGGCCTCCATGAGTACAGCGAAGGTCTTGTTCTGCGCCCCCTTCCCCATCTCGCCAAAGTTGTGTCGCACTTCCACTTCGACCACACAACGACGACGTCGCATGGAAACTTTGATGTGTTTCCTCAAAGCATTCGCCATGTAGTTCAAAAGTACAGCGTCAAGGAGCTCAAGTTGACCTTTACGACTGGGCTCTGGCGCCATGAGCAGTGGGGCGACATTCTTGGAAACGGCCCGCACGGTGTGTCGTTGCGAGCTACGATGGAAGATCCTGCCCTCTGGACAGGATTGACGCAGCAACTGGCCGGTCTCTTCTCAGCGTCGCTCAACAAGATGGACGCTACGACTGTGATTGCGAAGAACATATCGTCGCCCGTGGCGCAGCAACTCGACGGCGTGCTTTCGCGAGAGGAACTGTGTACAGAGAACATTAGTCCTTGGCTCAAGTTGCTTCCATGTCGGACTCATGCTGGCCTGGGGGCCTGGATTCGACCGGTCGCCCTGCTGGATGCTGACTTCTTGTCCTTGGCGCTGCACATCGTGAATGACTCTGCTCGGGGCACACTGCATCTGCACCAATCTATCACGGCTGTCCGGCGCGTTGAAGAGCCCGCGTGGTCGCTCCAGTCGGTCCTTGGACTTCCGTCATCGATAAGCACGCCTGTTTGTCCCTTGGTTCACTCGAGCGCTGTGGTCACTGACCTCGCCTTTGCACACTCGTCAGCAACCCCGTCGTTGGCATCGACCGCCGGCACCGATCCATCCACGCACAGAGTGTCCTTCTCGACGGCGGCAGCGACGGCAGCCACCCCATGGTTACGGCGTGGGTCGAACAGCGCTGTCGAACGCGCTATCTCGTGGCGAGGGGTGAGTGGCCATCGGTACTTGACGGGGTACGGACAAGTCCGCGGTGGCGTTGGCCTTCGGTTGACCAACCACCACCTGACCAAGACTCTCCGCGTCCGATACCACGAATCGATTCCGTGGTACATGCGCGTGTACTTTAGCTCCGTTCGTCTGCAAGTGAATGGACAAGAGGTCGACATCCTCGCGATGCCATCGTTCCGCATCAACGTGCCGCCAGCCATCGGTGGCCTGCAGCCGCCGTTCGAACTTGAATTTGTCGTCGACTTGGCTCCGCAGTCGGCCGTGGTGATGGCATACTCGTTTGACAAAACGTTTTTGCCCATGGGGCTGCACCCTCCCGACTCGAACCGCGGGTTTGACGTGCCTGCTGCTTCATGGAGCGTCGACAATGCGACGTACTACACGGAATCGCTTCTTGTCCCGCTGCCGACGCCAGATTTTAGCATGCCGTACAACGTCATCGTGCTCACGTCGACCGTGGTCGGGATGAGCATCGCGATTGTGCTCAATACGTTGCTGAACCGACATCGCAGAACCAACTTAGTCATGACACTCGTGCAAGACGTGGCGGCACGCGTCAAGACAAACGCGGCCAAACAAAAGACCGAGTAATACACGATGTGTCCATCGCAACATGCTGGCGCGACGGACGGCGCTGCGCATGCGCGTCCTCGAATGCCCGCGCGACTGATGGCCGCGACGTGCTGGAGCCAGCGCTTCCCTTTTTGCACTTCAACTTTGCCCCGACGAATTGTCTTGTGTAGTTGGATGTGCCGAATTGTTACAAATGTTACATTGGTTGTTCGTCGACGACACGTGCGTCGAATCTGCCGCACTGAGGACAATCCCTCCGTGCTGATCTGGGATTGCATCACAAGTAAGCGCGTGAATGGGCGATTTGAATCTCTGCGTGTCCAAGCGGACACGAGGCACTGGTCGACGTGGTCACATGGGCGTGGTGTCGATAATGTCGACGAAACGGTGAATTGCAACAATATATAACAGTGTAACAATATCACGAGGAATCGCACAAATTCGACAGAAAGTGTCGTGATATGGACTCGAATAAGGCAATTGCTGTTTCTGTACACTGTGCAGCATGTGCGTCCAACTGTGTGACCGACACGTCCAGGAGCGGCGCCGCGTCATTGATCTCGTGTGCCGGGAATGGATGCTTCGACGATACCGCTTCTCACCGGCGGGTAGGTTGCGGACGGATGATTGTAACTAGGCCGGCCAGTGCGGAGTGACATGGCATCGTGGTTTGTAGCGCCGCGACCACCGCCAATTCCAATCCAGGAATCGTGGCAGGCCGAGTGCCGCCACCGGCCAGGCAACGGTGGATACAAGCCACACAACACATCCGAGCAAAGTTTCCCAAGCCAGGGAATCGATGGAAGGACCTTGTGACTGCGTTTCGAACGAGTCAACGAAGCTCGTGCATCATGCGGCCGCCCGCGAACCCTGACAAAGAGCTGGCTTCGTTTCACTTAGTACGATGCGCGGACGCTCGTCCATTTTGACGTGGTCATGGCAGAGCGACATTGACGCATTTCTTGGCCGTATCAAACCTCCTTCGATCGAGTACATCGTGGTCGAGGTGCTTGTGCACAAGTGTCCCCTGCATCCGTCGCATTTGGGCCGATGGGCGCATTCTGCAGTCCGGTGCGGCGTCTTGGTGGATCGATAAAGTGGACGCCACCGTTCGAGTAGGTACACGATGCCGAACGGGACGCAGAAACTGGTCAACATTTGCAGGTACTTCCCCGTCGATGCGCCAACGCCGTCTTCCGTGTGGCGTAGGCCGGAGGAAGGACATCAGCTGATCGAGTTTTACGACGACCCGGAGGATTATCTTCTCGGTGTCCAAGGCAAGGTAGTACTGGCATATCGTTTGCAGCCCACGCGGTGGGTGCGATCGCACATGTAGGGAGGCATTTTCTCGCGCGACATTTGCTCCATTCGCATCGAGGACGTCCATCCCGACAGCATGCGGGCGCTGGACCACCACTTTCAAGCGATATCGCACCGGTTTCGAGCGGACGGGACCGGTTGCTCGTTTGAGATCACGGGCGGGTTCTGGGAAAATGTGTTCCGCGAGGTGTTTCATCTGCCGTCCAAGCCGAGCGGGAATTGCGCGCGGTGGGTGTCCAAAGGCCTCGTGTATGCGAACGTGCTCAAGCGGCAAAGCATGTTTCCGAAAGCGATTTGGGTCGAGATGCTCGAAAACCAGGTAACGGCGCGGCATCGACCCCACGTCGTCACGGGACGTGTGCGTAGTCGGCTGCCAACGCGGCCAACGTCAACGTTGTGTACTACCGGCGAATCAAAGGAAAAGCCAAAGAGAAACCGCACCTGCGAACCGGTACGATATATTCAGTCGCCACACACACACACGCGTGCGCTCACAGGCGATAGGATTCAGCTTTACAAGCGTGAAAGTGTGGCTTCTTTTTCCCACCGACTTGATCCAGTCGTGGCTGTACTGGGACATGGCCAAGTTTGCCAATGTCATCGTAGACAACAGGTGTATTACACGAGTTGGGCGGCGGCGTGCAGAGGCGGCTCATGGCACGACGACGTTGTAGGGACGACATTGGTGCTGACACCCAAGCAGCGCGGTTGCAGGTCCAGTTGGTGCCGGGCCACGGGGCCCGAACGCCCCGTCCTGTGATCTACCTCGTCCGGGTTGCGCACGCATGCCTCGTGTGTGGGCTCGCGCTGGGGTATGTTTTCTGTTGTCCTGGGGGCTACCCCCCGCAAGAGCCTCGCGTTCCGTTTGCATACGAAGTTTGCCCGTCGACATGGCCAGGCACGATAGGGTATCGGATCACGTTAGCCATCGTTGCGATGGCGATTTTGGAATTTTGGTGGTACTAATGCACGTGGAGATTGTTGGATCGAGTTTGGCGCGACGTGGAAATTGTCCCCAGACAACATCATCTCGGGGGCGCTGGGACCATCGGGGTGGCGCCGTGCCCACGTAGCCCACGATGCCCGGTCGCTGGTGCCCGCAGTCGTCGGCAACATGGTTAGCTTTGATGCATGTGTGGCACGTGGAGATCCATCGACGACGGTCGTGCAACAAACGATTGAAGCAGTGGCTGACCAAGCCCGTTCGATGACTGCATGGCGCCGACGGAATCGACGTCCAAACGTTAGAGCCACGATGCTGGATTCGTTGGGGCCATGTCGACGGTCGACATCGCAATGGTCAGACCATGTTTCGTACAGGCATCTGGAGCACTCTGCCTTTGGTACTGGGACACATGTGAGGAACGTCATGTGCACATCGAGGTGGGCGATAGACAGTCTATTCTCGGATTCATGTATCATGACCGGACGATGCCGATACGCCGAGCTGTCTGCCGGCCTTCGCGAGGATGTCGTCCCGACGAAACACTGGACGCTGTACTAGTGTTGTGTTGAATTCGTCTGCAACGGCAAACGGGGCGGCTGGAAACGGCCTCTTGTCTCGCATGGACGCGTCATCGCTTACAGATCGACCGCCGCTGGAGGGGGACGCGGATTTAAACGTGTCAGGCGAACCTGCCTGGACAACGATCTACTTGCCAACACTGGCGTGAACGCTCGGCATGGCGCACCCGAATGCGCGCGAATGTTCAACCTTATCGCCTTCTTGCCCTGAAGCGCTTGCCGCGCGGGCACAATGCCGCCGTGGGGCGAACGCCCTGTCGACGCCACATCGCCATGGCGTTGAGTGGCTGTGACTTTTCCGGTGCGTTTTCTAGCCAATCAAATTGGAGTCCGTATCTAAATGGACCAATCATTGATAAGTATGGGAGGCCATCGCCAATTCCTGCCGCCAGGTGGCCATCCACGGGAGTCCAAAGGCGTGTTGCCTGCGCGGTATACTACTGCAGCTGGATGGGCTCGAACGTAGCGAGCTGCGCACACTTGGGGCTGCGGTACACAGTGTAGCCCAGCATCCAATACAACACACGTCACTGTCCACATGACAGCGACGTCGTCGTGGGAAGCAGTGTGTGGCAACAGCTTCCTTCGGCTGGACGCATGTGCAAACCGCTCCAGCACAAGTGAAAGGCGCTTTCGCCAGCCCTCAACCGACGCAATTCTCGTCGTATACAACTCAGCATGCGAGTCGCGTCGACGCCACAAGAGGTGAATGGCATGCCTCTTGGCGTCCGTGGCTGGGTGACGCGTGTGTGTCGGTCGCTATCGTTGTCGATGGAGGACGTGAACGAGGTCACTGACGACAGGGCATGTCGCGAAGCATGTAGCATTCGGCCTGCCCGACTCGCCCACGTGGCAACGGCGCGTTCCTGTGCTGCCACGTCAAGTCGCAGGGAACGCCAGGCGCTGGTGCTTCCGCACCTGGCGAACACGCACCTTCTTTAGTGAATTTATTTTTATTCATACAAATATATAGTGTATTTAAAACATGTCTTAACAAAAAATGGCCAATTGGTGGAGCCAGTCCGATTTCCGCACCCACCATTGAAAACGGTCATGCACCCTTCGCACGGGCAGCACGCCGCGTTGCATGCCGGGCCACCACCGGCGTCCATGTTCATGCCGACGGCATCGCATGAGTCCCACACACCGATGATGGCGTTACATCAAGCGCCGCCGATGCACCCTGACGACACCCCGACCAGGCCGCCGCATCTCCACCCGGACGGGCTCCTCAATCTTCGCGCGCTGCACGGCGACGACACGATCAACGGGGAAGTGACGTTTCCGACGGGCCGGGACGCCAAGTACTTTTTGCAGGACTATTGCTTCAACCAGAACAAAGCGATGAAGCTTCGTGTGGGCAAGAACAGCGGCAACTCGAAAACGTTTGTGTGCACGTCCGAGCCGCACTGCGAGTGGCGCGTTGTCGCGACCAAGAGCAAGCGCAAGAACGAAGACGCGTGCTTTTACTTTTCCACGATCCACAATATCCACTCCCCCGGTTGTGTGTCGACGCGAAAGCCGTCCGAGCGGCAGCACATGCTCCTGACGTCGTCGTCGTTGCCGTACAACGTGCTGGGCGACCCTCTGCACGCCCCCACCGAGCACACCCATCCCGTGGCGAAAAAACCCCGCCGCATCAACCCAGTGGACAAGGTACTATCGCGGGTGCGATCCCCGCGCTCACGCTGGCTGCGACTAGGTCGTCAAGACCCTGGTCGACTCGAACGTCGACCGCCACAAGCTGTCCATCAAGGCAATCCAACATTTGTTTCAGAGTGTTCATGGCCATTCCATCAGCGCCCACACCGCCACTCGAGCCAAGCAGACCTTTTTCGGTTTGACACAGCATCCAGTGCCACCCGCGCCTTCCTCCCAGCCGCCGCAGCATTACAAAGCCAGACACCCCAGCGGCGGCGCGACGCCCGACCTGCGTCCGGCATTCCAGGTGTGTTGAAAACACCCGCCGAGATGGCCGTTTTCAAGCGAGTCCTTGCATAGCTTCGCGACTTGCACGAGCTTGTCGAGGAATCCAAAATGGTTTGGCGGCCAGACGATGCCTCGACATACCTGAGCAACGCCGCCGTGTTGTAGGTAGAGGCCGCGTTCGGCCGCGCGGCGGCGGTGGGCGATTTGTCGGCTGTACAAACTCTGCTTCGAAACGTCGACGTCGTTGCATCGGTTCGTCCATTACGTTCCGCTGTGGATGACCAACGCGTCGGTCGATAGAGCGGCCACCATGCGCTTTTGGCCGCGACCAAGGGCCAGCACTTGAGTGTTGTCGACTGCTTGTTGAGCCATGGCGCAAACACCGAAGCGATAGACGAGGTGCGCTTCGTTTGCACGATCGGGCATCGCGCTGCCTTCTTTCGAGTACACATGGCCGACGTCAAGATTGTGGAGCGTGTGTAGCACGGTGCGACAGCGCTGATGGTGGCCGTGCACATGGGCCATTTTCACATTGCCAAGTGCCTTCTTGACCATGGCGCGCGTGTGGACACGACCGACGACGTACCGTTCCCGACGTCATGGTGGATCCGTTGCCATGTTCAGTGTAGACGTCCAAGACGCCGTTGATGGTGGCTGCGCGGAATGGCCATTTGAAGCTCGTCAAGCTACTGTGCAAGCGCCAGGCTGCCGTCGACATGGCCGACGAAGTACCGCTGTCTCTCGTGGAATGGACGACTTAGGCGCGGCAATATGTAGGACGATAACACAGCGCTTCTGCTCGCCACGCAACGCGGCCACACGGACGTCGTCAACTTTTTGCTCAAGAAAGGCGCGAATCGACACGTTCAGAACTTGGTACGACGATAGCGTGGGGAGTCTGCTAGAGCATGAGTCTTTGTCCAGGACGGGCAAGATGCCGTGTCAGTCGCCGCCGCACTCCACAGCTACGAGATGGGCCAACTCTTTGCCGTGCCTAGCAATATCTAACAACCGAAACGAACGCAGCCATGAAATGTACACTCGGTCAGGTGGGACAGCACGCACGTTCGCATGCTCAACCAGGTAATTCTCCAACGAATTCCCTCACATGCAACAGACATGTGCCACAAGATGGATGCGGTGATGTGTGGCTGGGTGGTATTGACCGGCAGGGCGCATGCCGTGGACGCGATCGTGAACCGCGCGACCGCGGCGATTTCCCCACCTTGCCAATTTGCATACAATTCCTCAAAGCACGAAACGACCCGCATTCAGCATGATAATAATATTTCCGACCTGTTGTCTTGATTTTTGTATGCATATTGACTTCAATTTAATGCGCTCGAAAAAGATCGGGTTTTGAACACTTGAAAATTTGCCACGACGATGGCACCGATGCCGGCGCCGTACGCGAATGCCGTCCAAGCCGTCATTCTGGGTGCCGCTGTGACGTGGATTTACTGCATAAGTGAGTTTCGCATTGTCATGTGGCTGCGGTATCTCGCGTTGTGCTTTGGTCTTGCCGGTTGGTGCCTCTTGCCTGGCGGGAGACACTCGACAGCCGAGAGTCTTGCTACCAACGAGCCTGAGCATGAAGAAGATACCCCACTTGTTCCCACTGCAACCAACAATGCCGCTGATGGAAAACCTGATCCGTTGGAGGAGAATGAAGTCGCGCAAGAAGATGCCACTGCCGACGTGGATGCGACCACCACGGACCCAGAGTTTGTGTGCCAAGCCCCGACCCTATTGCGCCTTCGCAGTCGCGACGTGTACTTGACGACACAAGAGGAAAAGTGGGCGCAAGACGAGCATGGCCACATGTACCTATCTCAGTCGTCCAAGCGTGTACTGATCCAGTGCCCAGCGTCCGAGAACGAAGCTGTACTCCAGCGTGTGGCTCAATGTGGCTTTACCGGTGCCGCCATGGTGCCGTCCCCATCGACTGGACCGCCGCCACCAAGGCAGTTGTCTTTACGCGAGCAGTGGACAGCTTACATTGTTGATCAAGCCAAGGCGATGGTGCACGCCGTCGTCGACTCTGCTCTCCGTGTCGTTGGCGGTGCGATCTTGATGGCGACGTGCGGGCTCGTGTGGAACTATTCGCTCGGCATCAACACAGACATTTCGTTCCACGATCTTCTCTGGAAGCATTTGCAAGACGTGTAGAGCTCGCTCGTCGTAATCCTAATTTACTCTGTTCCGTCGCACATGGGCCGATTGTCCAGGCAGTCGCTTTGCCTTGATCTTACTCATGCCCTCGATGAAAATGACGGCGATACATGCGCTGACCGTCGACACAGAGAGCTACATGCGACGACGTTCGCCTGCGGCTATGATGCCTCAAATCCTTTAGCTTGGATTGTCGCCTTACCTGCATGGCGTGCAAGTGCACTCGGCTGTGAATCAATCGGGGGATACAGCGACTACTGCTCCATGCATCACTCCATGGCTCCATTCTGTTTGGGCCGACGTCGTCTGTGCCGCCTCAAGTTGCCAACACGCCACTGTCGTGCTGCTGTGAGATCGTGCCGCGCTTGCGAACATGGACTTGTCTGTTCGAGCAGCACACCCAACGCCCGAGGTGTCGCTCCGCCTATTCTCTCCTTGCACAAACGATGCACACAGCCATCTCCGCCGCAGCGTCACATCGTATAGATGCATACAGCCACGATGCTTGCCGTCGGGACCGACGCCTCGACGCTCTCACTCAACATGCGCTCAAACCTGTGAATTTCGATCGAGGGAAGCTCTTTGTACATATAACCTTTATCAATACATATCTCTAAATGAAACTAACATACAAAGAACAGTATCACTTGTTGGCAATGACCTGTAGAAGTAGATATTTGAAAGTGCAATTTCGCGATCTTCCGATCGGCCGACCAATCACTTGACGCCACAGGTTTCGAAACTCCCGTGGACTCAAAAACGCATTGCAATGGCAGTCCCGCCAGTGATGGCGGCGCCGGTCGCGATGGACGAAGCGCTGGAACTCGTTGTCGTGGCTGGAGGAGGCGCCCATCATGGAGTGCCATCGCCGTTGACCAAGGTGCACGATGGCGACGTAGTCCTGAAGAAACAACCGTCGTCTGCACTGCGGGATGGCGACGCGCCAGACTATACCGGCCGCGACATCTTGGCATTGCTGGCGCAGTACATCAGCGTCGGGTTCATGATTGGAGCCATGCAGCAGTTTAGCTACCCCATCTTCATCGCGTACTACCACATGGAAGGATCCCAGTACAACGCTGCAACGGCGCTCATCGGACTCGGGTGGTCGCTCAAGGTATTTGTCGGCATCTTGTCGGACTGCGCACCGATCTTGGGGTACCGGCGCAAGTCGTATATGATTCTCGGATGGATCGCATCAGGGTGCTGCATGCTCTTCCTCGCGTTGCATGACCACGGGTCACCGTACTACATCAACCGCGCGATCGACGGCGTTCCCCTCGCCAAGCTCACGCCGTTGCAACGCCTCCATGACGTCGACATCCACGCAAGTCGCCGCGGCACATTCATTGCCCTCGTTTGTGCAGTTGCCACGATTGCTTTCGTGGTGTCCGACGTTGCAGCCGACGCGTTGGTCGTAGAGTACGCCCAGCGCGAGCCCGAGAGCGTCCGCGGACGGCTTCAGTCGCTCATTTACTCGGTCCGTTCGGCGTCGGCAGCGTTTTCAACGTGTTTCGTGGGGTTTTGCCTCAACTCGCCACCGTACGGCGGGCGGTTTTCGTGGGACATGGGGATGAATGGCATGTTTGCATGTCTGGCCTTGACCAACCTGGCGGTGATTCCCATCACGTACTGGGGTGTCCGCGATGCCAAGCGACCGGCCTTGCCGCTTCGCCCGTACCTGCGCCAGTTCTGGCAACTTGTCCAGAAGCGCGCCGTGTGGCAAGTGATGCTCTACAGCTTCTTTTCGTCGCTGCTCGGGTCCAACATGACGACGACGGCGGCGCCATATGTGAAATACCACTGGGCCAAAGTCGAGTCGATCAACAACGCGGTGATCGGGGTGTTGGGCCACATGATTTTGGCCGCCGTGTTGGCCGCGACGGGCCGGTACGGGACCCAGTGGAACTGGCGCGCCGTGATCGTCGCCACGACCGTCGTCGGCACGGCCATCGACGCTGTGGTTCAGTTCCTCACCATCTACGACATTGTGCGCAATCAGTGGTTCTACTTGGGCGTACCATTGACGGAACAGCTCCCGGCCGGCATCAATTGGGCCGTCAACGTGTTTGTGATTGTCGAGCTGGCCGAAGACGGCAACGAAGGCATCGTGTACGGCCTCCTCACGACCGTGGGCAACCTCCCGGGCATTTTCGGGTCGGTGCTGACCAACATCTATTGCGCCCACTTTGACGTGTCGTCCACGGACATCCAAGACGATTCGCTCCACGTTCGCCACCAGGTCGCGTACACGTACTTGATCACGTACGGCACGACCGTCGTCAGCTGCTTGTTTGTGTGGATGCTGCCGTCGCAAAAGGCCGCCGTCGCGCACTTGAAAGCGACGGGCGGGAGCTACCCCGTTGTCGGTGGCGTCGTTCTGTTCGTGTCGGTGTGTGTCCTGGTGCTGTCGATCGTCGCGAGCCTTCTGTCCATGTTTGAAGCGACGGCGTGTTTGCATGTGGCCGGCGGGTCGGGCTGCTGAGTCGTGTGTCCATTGACATGCGATCGATTGATCAAACGAAGCTCCATGTATTATCGTTGCCATCGTGTCACAAAAAGTGCGACCGGCGGGACGGCCATGGCGAGCGAGCGCTGTCGCCGGCTCTGGTCTCCTTGATCGCTCCGAGTCCATCCTGTCCACAGTAGATGGCGACACAATCGAATTGGACCCACGACAATGGACATCTGGGATGGAAAAACGGCGAGTGGCGGCGCTTCTCTCGCTGCCACGGCGACCCACCTTCACCGAGATTGCGACGCGGGAGGTGAAAGCACTCGTGCTTACGACGCTAGCGCGGCAGAGTCGGGCGTTTGGTTTCCAGGTTTGCAAACAGGCGCTGCGTGAAGCTTCGGGCGACGGCAGTCATGTGCTGGATGTAGCGCGGCCACTGCAGGTGGGCGGGTGTCGCGCTGTCGAGGAGGGACCGCCACAGCTTGGCTTCGTCGGCCAGGGGCAGGAACTGCCCCGTGTCGGTATAAAAGTGATGCGAATGCACACTGAGCACGCGAAGGTTGGTCGAGGCGCCGCCCGCGACTTCGTCCAACACAATCCTACGGCAAGGAATCACGCATTGGAGCCAAGAACGTAGATAGTGACCATGACATTCGATTGCGCTGCACAGCAAACGATGGCAAGGTCGCGTCGTCGTGGATGTTTTGCCGGACAAATACCACCCGACGACGGGTTCCATGCGTCCCGGCAACTTCGCGGGACAGTTCGTACACGTTCGCCCCGCGGAGGTACCTGGCCGATCCATCTGCCGGCCACAGCTACATGCAACGTCAGCGACGACTCATGCATGTCAAACGTCAGAAAACGACGCTCGCGCGCAGACGACCGACGTACATGCGCATCGATGGGGTCGCCTTGCCGCTCAAGGGTCCGAATGAGGGCGGCGGTGGCATCCAAGGGCGCGCGGATCTCCCGCTGATATCGCATGGCGTACTGCATACAGTCGAGGTCGGACGCGTCCACGACACAGTCGTCGACGGCATCGAGCGGCGGCGGAAACGCAAACCGCGCAAGCATGCGCTCCGTGTTGTGGTACAAATGCCCCGTGATCCATTCCATGCCCAGCCGGCGCGACGCAGCGTGGGTCAGGAGGGTTACGTTTGTCCAGTTGCGGTCGGTTCCCGACAAGGCCGACCGACCGACGTGATGATGGATCTCGACAAACGATAGCATCTGTCGGAGCAGTTCTTGCCGTGCGTCCCGCTCGCGGACAAGACTTGCGTAGTCCGTCAGCACGTCGTCTACCGAGTCGGCCAACGCCTCAGCAACATCTTGCCACGACAACGTGGGCACGCGTGGGCGGTTCCGACATGGCGCTGGGATGCTGGCCACTCGTCGTAGCTCGGCCTCCAGCTGCACCACCTGCGCCTGGCACGTCGCGATGGCGTCCTTGATTCGCAGACGGTACTCTTGTTGCTTTGCGCGGTTGTACGCTAGGCGCTTCGGCCGCTTTGTCTTGGGCTTCCCGATCACCCTCGTCGAGTCGGCCATCGGCAGCGTTTTTTTTTAAACTATATTACGAAACTGTCGCGTCCTGTTAAGTCCGACGACCGCCGTGGACACCCGTGGACATGAAGGACATCCTACGCGCACTGCCTCGCCATGCAGGACTGGGGAGAAGAGTCCCGACTTCGCGTGGGTGTCCATGTGACGCATGGCCGAGACATTCCAGCCGTACGTTCGGAGTGATGCGATCCGTGATCGCCTCTGCTAGAGCAAACGTTTGTGCACTTGACGGGGCGACAGCGACGTTTGGCATGGAGAGACGATTGCGCTTTGGGCAACCACCACGCGGAGATCGAACCAGGGTAGTCGTTGTCACGACTGAGCGAGCACTCGTGGAAGGTCTCCGAAAGAGGCAGACATGAGCAAACGAGTCCCAGCGACAACAACATGCAGCAGGGTGGAGCCGTTCACGTCGGTACACACTTGATTCATCTTCGACTGCCCCTGGAAGCATTTCTACTGCACGAATTGTTTGCGAGGAATGCGATGGAATCGAATGAACCAACGCGTTCAATGGCGTGGACCGTGCGGCGACTCGGTTGAGCGCATGCTCGGTCTTGCCGAGCCAAACACGTCAATGAAAACGAAGGGGTTTCAGTTGCATCCTTGCACCGTCGCCAATTGCGCAATTCCCGTGGACCTACGACGACGTCGGCACTGAGCCGATCGTCGAGTCAAAGGCAAAACACCGCTGGGCAATGTCGATCAGAGCCACGATCCCGTCTTGCATAAGGACGGAGTTTGCCCGAAACGATCTTGGTCGAGATGCGCGCTGACGCCATCGATCGAGATGGCCATCTTGAGCTCAGAGAATGAGACCGCGGTCTATCTCACACTCATGAGCACGCCAAGCGAGTGCATGCCGGCCGTTTCCGTGCACAGGTCGCCCATGAGGACTCCGGCGCGATCCACAGGACGGTTCCGACTTTCGTAGGCATCGTTTGGTGCTGCCGCGGCTCGTGCCAAAGTCCGTCAACTGGCCACGGCGGCGACGATTCCTGGAGCTCGCACGATCGCGGCGTTGACATGGACCATGTGGAATTCGGGCGTGTCGCGGTACGGGAGCAGCGTCTCCGTCGCATCGCACGGAGAACTTGGCACGGTTGAATCGCAAACTGATGTCCGAACGTCTAGTTCGACGACGACGAGGTCGTGGTCGACAGCAGGCTGGACCGGTCGATGCGCTGCCTGCGGTACGCCTCGGACCTCGAGTCGCCGCCCGTCATGGACTCGTTCATCAAAGTACATGAAGCTCGTCCACGCCGATGAGCGACACGACCTTCCAGTGGAGCAACCGAGCGCTGACCCGAAACGTCGTCCATGAATGCTTCGATCGCGTCGGCGTTGTGGACCGAGTTCTCTGCGTCGCGCTTCCCGACCGTCCCAAGGGCCGCGATATACACGACGCCATCCTCGTCTCGCGCAAGCACAGCCCCGCTCGCGAGGTTCGTTCGCTGGGACACACATCACACTGCCAACGACGGGGTCGTGCTGCGTGTCGTGGGGGACTTTGAACGGTCGCGTCCAGCAACATGGCCTTGATTTCGTGGTGTACCTAGAAAAGATCGTGTCACTAAATCAAGGTTTTTTTTGAACCTTTTGCTCAAAGACAATCAAGGAAAAGGATCGAAGGAGTCGTTAAACCCGGGTTGAATCGCATGTCCAGATCCCTTTGCCACGTGACGATGCTGCGTGATTCGGTCGTCGTGGCGGCATGGACGTGCTTGGTGGCGGCGTACTACGCGTCCCCGTTCGTGCGAGGGCCGTGGGAGTTCATCGGAGCCTGGGATGACTCGATCAATTTCGTCGACAATGCCTTGATCCAGCACCCGCTGTCGTTGGCGTCGGTCGGGACCATGTTCCAGACTGTCAAAATCAACGTGTACGAGCCGCTCGCGTGGCTGCTCAAGGCGCTGGTACACTCTGCGTTCGGCATGGACTCGTACGCAGTTCGCGTTGCAACGCTGGGCATCCATCTTGTGAACGCCACGGTGCTGTACGCGACGGCGGCGCGCCTGCTGCGAATGCTCCACCGACCCGCTCCCCTCGGTTGTTTTCTTGGCACGCTCGTGTACGCTGTCCACCCAATACACGTCGAAATCGTTGGGTGGCCGTCCGCCCAGCCGTATGCGCTCGCCATGCTCTTTACACTGCTCTCGTTCTATACCCACCTCGAGTCCGTCGACGCGACAAAGTCCCGACGCGTGTGGAGCAGCATCCTGTCCGTAGGTACCGCGACCGCTCCAGCGCGCATCATCCTTGCACACTCACGGATCCGGTAGGGTTGTACGTGTGCAGCGTGTTGAGCAAAAGCGCGGCGATCCTGGCTCCCGTTGGAATTGTCGCGATGGACGTGGTGTTGGCCACATCGCACGAGAAAGCGACCCACCCACCATGGCGACACAAAGATCTCGTGCGGCGGTGGGTGCGCTACGGAGCCTCCCAAGGCGGCTATGTCCTTGCCATGGCTGGCCTCGTCAGCGTGACGTGGCATGCGAACGCAGACGGTGCCGCCGTCGACTCGGACATCATACACTTGACTCTGTCGGAGCGTGCCATGAAGGTGGTGTTTGTCCTGATGTGGCCCATCCGCATGTTTCTTTGGCCGACGTGTCTCCGCTTCCACTACCAGCTCCCGCCATCGCTACACGTCCTCGACAACTCGCTCGGACTGCTCTCTGCTGCCGCCGTCGTCGCCATCACCGTCGGTACGATTCGATCGATCGCAGACGCGATGCGGCAGTGTGTGGTTGTGAACCAGTGTCGTAGCATGCCTTTCTCGAGCTCGTGCGGGGCGCTTGGACGGCCTGGCCGGTTGGATGTTTTACATTGCGATGCTGCTGCCCGTGTCTGGTCTGGTCCAGCACGGCTTGATCGTTTTAGCAGCCGATCGATACGCCTACTTTTCAACGATCGTCGTTGTCGGCGCCATCGCGGCGGTCTTCGAGTGCGTGCCGCGCTCCCATCGCCGGTGTGCCGTCGGCGTTTGCTGCGTTGCGGCGCTGAGTCTCGCCCACGTGTCCGTCCTGCAGCTCGAGTCGTGGCGCACGTCCGAATCGGTCTTCCAGCACGGACGAAAGTACGTGGCGCGCCACGACGCCGCCAGTGTCATGTGAAAAACGGTAGAGCCGATCCGACCGACTGGCGCATCCTGGACCGCTTGCACGAGCTGCTGCTCGAAACTCGTCCGACCGACGCCACACTATACCTCCAACAAACGCTCGCGTACAGCCCTCGACGAGGTACTGGCGCCACTCGTTGTCGCGATTGTGTTTTCACTGCCGTCGAGAGTGTGCTGACTCGTGCCACAGGACTGAAGGCGCAGCTTCACGTTGCCAAGTGCTACATGCTGCTCGGTCAAACAAACGATGCCTGTGCCATTTACGCGGCCCTCTACGTCGACCACCCAACGTACGCCCATGTGCTAAACAACATGGGCGTGTGTGCATGGAAGCACGGCCGGTTGCGCGCCGCCCGCGACTATTTCGTCGAGGCAGCGACCCATGGCACCGGGCTAACGCGGGGCGACACGTCGCCGCAAACAAACCTGGCTCTCGTCGACGAGTGGAATCCGCGGACCCGCATCGTCGCGCGCATCATGTGGTGAGAATTCATGGGCACCGGCCCACTTGTTTTTTTCATCGCGTATTCGAGGAACTACCCGGCGGCGCTAGTCGAGCGCGGCAAAGCACAGACTCGAGTTGGTGCCGCCAAACCCAAACGAGTTGGTCAGGACGGCACGGATCGGCGCGACTTGGGCGACGAGGGGCACGTAATTCAAATCAAATTCGGCGGTCGCATGCGTCAAGTTGAGTGTCGGCGGCGCGATGTTCTAGCCTCCACGGTCATCTATCGAAACAAACCATGACGGCCATGCATGCTGACCTCGTGCAGCGCTTTGAGCGCAAATATGGCTTCGACGGCGCCTGCAGCCCCGAGCAAATGGCCCACCGCCCCCTGCACCCCTTCGTCAGCACACCGTGCCGCAGCACGCACGTCGACCCGTACCTTGGTAGACGACACGCGGAGGTTGTACGCGTGCGCGCCTGTGCGTGTCAAGTTGGATCGACGGCCCATGAAGAGAACGGATGTGTACCGAACAAGCGCTTGATTGCTCGGTTTTCGGCCGCGTCCCCGAGCGGCGTCGACGTTGCGTGTGCATTGATGTAGTCAATGTCCGATGGCTCGAGCCCCGATTGCCGCAGGGCCGACTCCATCGCACTAGGAGGTGTCGATAAATATCGACGAGCGACGCGAGAGTGGCATGGGACCCACCGATACGCTCCATCGCCGTTTTCGCGAGGTGCGGTCAAGTGATGCGCGTCGCCGCTGAGCCCGTAGCCTCGGATTTCGCCGTAAATGCGCGCGCCCCGCGCTTTTGCGTGGTCGTACTCCTGGACATGACGCCGCGTCATGGCTGTACGTGCGCGAGATGGTACCTCCAACACGCACATGCCGGCGCCTTCGCCCATGACAAACCCGTCTCGGTGCTCGTCGAATGGCCGCGATGCTTGGTGCGGCGACTCGTTGAACTGCACAAAACGCGTAAGCGTCGATACCATGGCGCGATAACGTGACCTTGGTCGCCAGCGCTTTCGCGCGAAGGAAGCCGCAAATGGACAACGGAGTCAAGCTGGCTTCGGTCCCGCCCGCCACCATCACGTCGGCATCTGGTTGGCCGCACCAACCGTGAGCACGTGGACAACGGGGCAACAAAACCAACCTCCGTTTCGAATGAAGCGATAGGCGTCGCCAATACTGTGGCTCCCGGTAGCGCACGCTGTGGTGCATGCGTGGTTTGGACCCTACAGCAGCACGACGTCGTTGACCGGTCCAAGATGAAGTCGACGACACCTTGAGCTCATGCATCATGCTCACGTGTCCAGCTGCCAAGTTGATCAGGATGCGGGGCACGAAGAACGGCGACACGCGGCGGAACTTTTGTTGTTGGATGAGCATCCCTGTGTCAGCAATCTCCTGGAGGTTGCCAATGCCGGCGCCGATCGCGACACCTGCGCGCACCTTGTCTTGCTCCGTTTTGGGTGTCCAATTCGCGTCCCGAAGGGCTTCGTTTGCAGCAGCGATAGCAAACGAGATGAACCGCACGTCTTGGCTCCGCGCTTCGCGCGGGTTGATGTGGTCGACCGCATGGAAAGTGTCGGGCACCTGTCCTCCGATTTTGCATTCCAATCCGGTCGTGTCAAAGGACGTGATCGCAGAGATTCCGCACTCCCCATCAATAAGCCGCTTCCACGTCGCTTCGATGCCGACACCCAACGGCGTGACGGCGCCAAGGCCGGTCACGACCACCCGTCGGCTGAGCGCGGTTGGCGGTGGCCCAAACACCATGCTGCTGCTCAATCGAAGCACTTGGAAGATGTTGGGGAATCCGCCAATCAAGTATCTCAAATTTTCAAATACGTGCGTTTGATTGGATCATTTCAACGAATCCAAGGGCGTGTTTCGATTTTGGTAGCGTTTGATTGGTTTAAAAATGTCGGCCACCATCAACACAAACATGGCCGATCTCGCGACGATCATCGGGTACGGCTCACTGCTGTCCGAGACGTCGGCGCGGTCGACATTTGGCCACCACGTCAAGAACTTTCGCTTCGGGCGCGTGCACAACTACCGCCGCGTGTTTGCGCATCCCGCGTCGATCTTCTTTCAGCGTGGCATTGCCAACTACGACACCCAGGTCTGCGATCCATCCACAACGACGACGTCATGGACGTTGCGCCCTTGCGAGTAGGAATTCGCGAGCCTGTCGGCCGAGCCCAGTATCGGTTCGTCGTTTACAGTCAGTGCGTTTGAGATCCCGACGTCGCAGCTGCCCGACTTTTACGACCGCGAGGAAGAGTTTTCAATCGAGTCGATCTCGTTTCACGACACAAAGGGCGGCGCCGTGTCCACGGGGTTGATGTGCTGCCGCTGGTCCGATGCAGCCTACATCGCCACACGGTGAGTCCATCGATTCGTGTTGGTGCTATCTGAAAAGAATCGCGTCCAGCGGCCAAGATACCTTCGATCGACGGTACAAGGCATACGGCCTCGACACGATCTGGGGCTACAACGCTTCGAGTGGCATCCTCCCTTGCCGTGTGCGTCTGCCTTCGGCTCACACGACGACACTGCCATAACATCCTGCTGCGTAGGTGTACCTGAGGCACTGCATCTTGGCGGTTCAAAAACTTGGCGAAGTAGGGTGCTCCGTTGCTACTTCGACGTCATCAGACGATTGTGGAGTAGGATGTATACGACGACTTTGTTCAGAATACGTTTCTCGGCGACCGCAAAACGACGATCCAGACGTATCTGGCGGAAAACCCTACCATCATGACCACGGTACCGCCGCCGCATCTTGTCGGGCGCTACAGCGGCTGATTCAGCGCCATCAACTACGATTCTCCCGTCGATTCCAACAAGCGGCGGCGGGTTGCTAGCGTTCATGCAGATGCAGCTGGCAGCATGCAACGGCCACAACAAAGGAAAGACCATGGGGTAGTCAGACGTGACAGCTCAACACGAATGCAGCGAGTCGTTCTGGTCCACTTGTTTGAGGGATTGCTGCATCAGGCCAACTCGGCGGGGAGTCTGCTGGATGTGGTTTTGCAACTTATTCTTTCACGAATTCACGATGTGGAGTACGACCAACGGCGTGTAGCCTGAGCCGTGGTGCATGTCGTCGCAGAGGAAGTCCATTGGGTTGATGACAGGAACGCCGGTACCACTCGTTCCAGTGCATGCAAGGATGCCGCGACAACCGCGCGACCGTCGCCACCCTTGCTTGTTTCGTGGCAATACAAACAGTCCGTTGCTACTGCATCGGTGGTACGTTGCAACAGTATGCTAGGTGTTCCAGCCGTCCATCCGTTGATGGTCGACGGGATTCTTTAGCCATTTCACTCGCGCGTGAGCTGTACACGATCCAGCTTTGCAGACCTGAAAATCGACTTCTGTCGAGATTACGCAACAAGTTTGACATTTCCTTTCTCCATGCCGCAAACGGACCACCTGCCTTGAATGGAGGGGTACATGGAGCAACCACCGACGCGACACAAAACTCCTGAATTCGTGATGGCGTTGGATCGGCGCGGCATGGGACAGAATGAAAGCACGATGGCCAGACTTACACTACCGACGCCATGATGACTGCAGCTACTCAGTGAGTGCTTGACTACGTCTATAGTGAGCTGCATGGGTTCACCCACAACACGAGCTCCTGCCGACATGAAGTACATCCATCGGGCGCCATTGCCAAGGAAGAGTGTGGTGTGGAGGACATTGTGGACGTTTTTGGGCTCGCCACGCATATTCGTGTTGGATGGCGTGATCAAGAGGCATTCTTTGATTGGCTAAAAGTTCAACAAATAGAACATCATTTCAATAAAACCAATGCCGTTTTTCTCTAGATCGTCCACGTGAAACTTCGCTTTACCGACGTCAACGGCAGACACAGGATGAAAAACGGCATCCGTTTTATTACAGCATGTTTAACTAGTTTCTATTTTAGCCAATCAAAGTCATTTATCACAACGTCATCACAAACCGTCGTGGATCGGTGGATCTTGGGTCGACTTGGTACACACCCCTCAAAAAAAGGCAGTACAAGTGGACGGGGTGGCGACGTCATGGCCACACAAATGCCCTTCCTCGCTGAACGTCGCCACCATTGCGCTCCTTGGCGCCACCAAGCGTGAGCTCGCTTCACCACAACCTGGGCTTGTACAATGAATGTATCATGCCGCCCGAAGCGATTTGATTGGTTATCGAAACGTCCATGTCTTAATCCGTGCATTTGATTGGCCACTGGGATTTCATCGACATTCCAGCCTCCATTCGACATTTTCCCGTCATGGATCGAACGGCGGTGGCGGCAGTGGTTGTCGGCGCGGGCTGCATCGTCCTGTCTCTCGCCGGTGCCGGTACGAGGCGCTCTTGCACTGCCGCGTGTGCTCGTTTTTCTCTCACGTCCGATGCGCTGCAGGGTGCGTGGCGTATCCCAGCGACTGCCCCGTCGAAACGTCGTACGTGATTCCGATGGCGATCGTGGCCGTTGCCACATTGATCCCGGTCGTGGCGATATGGGTCGCGGCATTCGCAGACAGCAGACGTCGCCGCGCTCAAGCAAAAGGCGTCAACGAACTGTCCAACCTGGTGCCGTACGTACCATCGTGCGGATTTTTCCTGTGTGCGACCGACTCGTCTGGCAAAGGTCCACGTCCGTGTCGGACGCGTCCGCGCGCATTCCTGTATACATGTACGCGAGTCACTTCATGTCGTCGTGGGTATGTTTCACTGCATAACATGTCACCGATTCCATCCACGACGCGTGCATCGTTTGTTCCGCCTTCACCGAGACTCATCCCGTGCTGCGCGGTCTCAGGGCGACCGCATGTGGCAATTCGCAATCCCGCTCTTGTTCATGGAGATCTTTGTCGACACGTTGCTCCCGAGCGCGTTGTTCTCGCTGGTGCGTCGATCGTGATATCTTCTCGGTCGTCCATTCCTCACGTCGCTCTGAAACCTTTAGGTCGTGTACGTTGTCGGCGTCGCGACTGTCCCTGCAGTCGGCGCGTGGATCGACCACACGAACCGCCTCCACGTCATGCGCGTATCCATCCTGATTGAAAACGGGTGCATCATAGCGAGCACAATCGCGCTCGGTTCGATCTTGTTTGTGCTGTCGACCGACGACGTCTCGTACGACCGCGCCCCATCATCGTCGTTCGTGCTGACTCGTACGTGTTTCAGAACCCGTGGCGTGCAATGGACGTTGCCGATGGTGGCGCTGTTTGCCGTGACCGTGGTGGCGGGCGCCGTCGGTCAAGCGTACACAGACGCCCAGACTCTGTCGATCCAGCAAGATTGGGTCGTCGTTGTCGCGCGCGAGACAAACGTCCCGCTCGGCGACTGGAACACAACGCTTCGCCAAATCGACCTCATTTGCAAACTCGCGTCGCCGGTCGCGTTTGGATTGATCATGGACTTTGCCGGCGACGCGCCGATGACCCGTGCTGCGACAGGTCTTGCGCCCCCCCACGGCTGACATGCTGACACACTTCAAATATCGCCAGGGGCGGCCGTCGTGGGTGTGTGGAACCTCCTGGCGGCGCCGTTGGAGTATTGCATGCGAGTCGACACGTACCACTTCATCCCGGCGCTGCACGATCAGCCGAACCAGCTCAAGAAGAAACCGGCAGTCAACTTGACGCAGTATGTGGCGTCGTGGACCGAGTATGCGCGCCACCCGACGTTCCTCGCCAGTTTCTCGTTCTGCGCATTGTACATGACCGTGCTGACGGGCACGGGACTCAATCTGGCGTACTTGCAGTGGCGCGGCGTGCCCCAAGCTGTTCTCGGTACAGTTTTTGCATTCGGCATGCAAGCGTCATCGTCATCATGTGTCTGCAGGGTTGAGCACCGGTCTCGGCGCCCTCTTCGGTTTGTTTGGGACGGTCGTCTTTCCAACCCTCGTGCGGGTGCTCGGCACGATCGAGCGCGTGAGTGTGTGGACGGTGTGGCTGTTTTGGTTGACGCTCGTTCCGATTTGGGTCGCATGCGTCTGGTTTGGCGAAGCGACAGCGTCCGACTACATTATGATGGTGGCGATTTTGATTTCCCGGCTCTGGCTGTGGTCCTGCGACTTGGCGCAAACCCAGATCATGCAAGAATGGGTCGAAGCCGATCGTCGAGGTGCGGTCGATGGATGATGATGCACGTCGACCCGTTCTACACGACGATCGTAGGCTCGATCAATGCCATGCAAAACGCCACGTCCAAGCTCTTTTACATTGCGATGCTCCTCGTCGGCGTCTTTTGCAGCGACCCGCGCGAGTTTGTCACGCTCGTGACGGTCTCGATCGGCGCGGTCTTGTCTGCTGCCGTCGGCTTCACCGTGTGGTACGCCCGCTACGTCAAGTAGAGGTCGCGTATCGAGTCGACGTGTACATCGCCGGGAACGCCGCCGCTTTCTCCATCCATGGGGACGGCCGTCGTGGCCCGCCTCCTATTTCGTTTGAACGAACAATTGAACTCGTCATGTCGGCAGTCATCGCTTTCGTGGCGCAAGAGAGAGTGTGTGGCAGCGCGCACTACCGGCAGCACCCGTGTGGACGCAATCGTGTGGCTAGGAGGCGTGCCATGTGCTCTCGTCCAGAGACCACGCACGTCGTTTGTAATTCTTGGGGCATGCATCCGTCTGTGTTATCACTTAACGATGTTGGTAGTACCACACCGTAAAGCCGATCGCGGCGACGGTCGTGGCGCCGATGGACGCGAGAATGAGGACGTGGAATTGATGCGGGTCCGCGTACACGATCCCGAGCACGAGCACGGCCATGTAAAATCCTTTGTTGGCAGTGTGCTGCATCGCGTTCACCGCGCCTCGTTGGTGCGGCTCGACCCATTCCTGCATGATCTGCGTCTCGGCTAAGCTCGTGGTCCAGAGCCAAAACTGCGACGCCGCTAGCACGACCATGAGCACGATGTCGGCAGCTTCAGCGGACGGCCTCCACACCACGTACAGCGCGGGGGCCAGACACCCCAGGTACAGCCACACCGACGCGACGGCGACCGTCTCGGCGTACTCGAAACGGCGAAGGAGCCACGGGTACGACCACGACGCCATCAAGCCACAGTACGCCCCGCTGCCCATACTCCAACCTGCGTCAAGTTCCCTCCATGAATCAACGTGCCTCGTTTAGAAGCGTTCTCCATGCAGACCTACCGACTGTCGCGGGCGCTGTGCCATGCCACAGCAGGTACGCAGTACTGAGCGCGTTTTCCTTGAGGACTGTCATGTAGAGCACGCAAAACGACAAGCTGACGACGCTTGTGGGGTGCTTCAAGTACATCGTCCACATCGCGATCGTCGAATGCGACTGCGGAGGAAAGCAGCGTAGCTGGTGGGGCGGTCGTTTCGCCGCCAGCGACGGGCACAGGGTGTACACGTCGTGTAAAGCGGCGTACTGGAGTGGGGCCAAGAGGAGGTTCCATCCGGCTGCCGTCATGACCAGCACGACAACTTGGTCATGCGCGGACGGCACCGCGCGCTGCAGCACGCCCATTTGAAGCGCATACACCATAGGAGACACGATTCTGGTCGCCATGTCGATGCGAAGGAGCGATGTATTCCATGCCGACAGCGGCGAGTCGGTGGCACTGGCGAGCTCGACCACCCAGTCCTTTTCGAGCGCGAGCGTCTGGAGGTTGTTGTAGATCTGACTGACGGCACTCGCCCCGACCGCGACCGCGACGGCAGCATACACCGGCCAAGCACTTGCTGCCGAAGGCACTGTATATGATGGGGCGTTGGTTGTCGAGTTGACCGAATGGTTGAATGCGGACGACGTGTCGGTTTGACGGAGAAGAACCGTAGCGACAACGAGCCCGGCCGCGCTGACTGCCACCATCCCGTTCATGCCAAGAATGCCCGTGCGTACGGCATGCCATCGATTCGTAGCGTCGACAAAGGCACCCAAATGCGGCATGGACACGATGAGAATAGCGTACACGATGAGCTGAACGATTACATTCGGCAACAGCGTCGACGGAAAGAGCTGTGTTAACAGCAGTGGCACGGCAAACTGCCACAGTCGGTCGCCCTAGCAACACCGTACGATTATTTGCCTCGTTGAGCGTATCTAGGCACACCCAGGCCGTGGCAAAGTGACTCGCGTACAGATATACGTGTAGCCGTGTGGGCATGGATGCGTCGGCGCGCCGCCCGCCAGTGCCCGTCGGAGTCTTGTTGCCAAGTGTGTTCTTTCGGACGTACCCAAGAAGCGGCTGGGTTTCCTCGGCACGCCGACTGTCCACGACATATGCGGAGAGGCATGCGATGAGAGGAAGCAACGTGCCAAACCCAACACTTGCTAGGATCGTTCCAATTGCTTTGTCGTGTGCCACGCAAACCACGGCTTGAGTACGGCACACTGTTTGAACGACGTCGACATGAGGCAACGGAAGGAGCTCATCTAGTGCCACATACCCACTCCGGAAGAACCGACGACGATGCATAGGAATCCGAGAACGACGGCCGTCGCGGCCGTCCGATCCAGCGGCGGGAGTCGCCACATCTCGGATCTTCTCGCAAATGTTGACAATCATTCATTGGCCAGAAAAAATGAATTCCTTTCGTTTTACTGGTCAATTGAGATATTATTTAGCCAATTATATTGAGGAATCTTCGTATGAGCTGCAACGAACGACGCCGACGCCCGCCGGCCATGCCGCGGCCTGTGCTGAGCGAGGAGCTGGAGAAGATGGTGCTCGCGTTTGTCCAACCTCTTCCCCACTTTGTGACGTGGCAGCTCGTGAGCCGTCGATGGCGCACGATCCTTTCCAGCTTGCCAGCGTACGACGCCAACATGGACTGCATTCGGCCAGTCGACAGTGCGCTCTACCTAGCGCTTCTCCAACGGTGTTCGTGTCGTCGTAATGCAGTCTGGTGAACTGACACGTAGGTGGCCCATGCTGCGATCCGTCACGATGACACATGACGTGCACGTATCCAACGAAATGACATGGCAGTTGGGCCTCGCGCAGCTCGCCCACCTCGAGCATCTCTCCCTGCGCCGCACGTTCACCAAAGTGTTGCAGGAGCTGTTCAAGTCGTGTCCAGCGATTCGCGTACGTGTACAACGTGTTCGCATCCATGGGTTAGCTTGTTGGTTTCCAGAGTCTCTCCGTCCTGGCGGGCTCCGACCTGCGGCTCCCCACGGTCAAAACCAGCCTCATGCACTTGCAAAAGCTCGAGCTTCAAGCGGCGACCCTCGCCAACAACTCGTCGATTATGTCCATTGTTCGAAACGCGCCTCAACTCACGCATTTCGTCGTGTCAGGTTGAACCAGCGTCCACCATCTCGGTACGCTGATCTCCCGTCGTTCGTAGCGGCCAGTGACGTGACGTCGCAAGTACTGACGCAGCTCGCAACTTCCTGTCCACACATTCAACAAGTTGTCCTAAAGTGCGTCGCGGCGGCGCTTGGAGGTCGCTGACGCTTTCCCACAGCCAATGCGGCCTCATGGTGGCGTCCCAAGTCGACACGTTCCTGCGCAAGTTCCATGCCCAACTGACGTGGGTGGACCTGTCCCATTGCCACGATTTGAAGTTGTTCTTGATGGTATGGAGGTGGCGTCGTCGTTTCTACTGTGCGGGCCATGACGACGTGCTTGGCAGAACGCTGACGAAGAGCTCGTCCTTGACCAGCTCCAAGTTCTCGTTGTCGACAGCACCCTCGTACGAGACAGCGTGCTGCAGTCGATTCGATGCCCCAAGCTCCAAGTCCTTTCGATACAGGTTCGTGTGAAAGCGAGTTGTACTTGCGCGCCGTAGAGAGATGCTGACACGCGTCCGGTGCAGAACTGCCGGTGCATCACGGACACGGGCGTTGTCGCGTTTATGGCTCACCATGTCAACGCCCCACTGAAGATCTTCGAGGCCAAAGTAAGATGGACTTGGCAATGCCTTGGTCGTGAGTGACATGCTCTCTGTGAGAACACGGCCATTACAGAGATCAGTGTCGACGTCATCGAGAGATCGTTGCCAAACCTGACGCACATCGGTGTCGAAAGCTGCCGCGGAGTGCCCCGAGCGACCCGACAGCGGTGTGCATTGCAATGCCACATGCATGCGTCGCAGTTCGAACGAGTGCTTGTCGCGACAAACGCGGCCGCGTACCGAAAGGACAACGTGGGAGTCGAGTTTGCCGCGACACCAATCAAACCTTCGTCCATGTCGTACGGCCTGGACGAGGAATATACCCCGCGCGATGGCCACCAAGAGTACGAAGAAGATCATGCCGAGGAGACGCCACAGCGGCGAGGTCGGCGACGACGCATGCCCACGCACCAACCAGCCAAACGGAGTCGAAATATCACAAACTAGGGAATCGATCATGTCTGCTAGGATCGCGTCCACTTGTCAATTTTTACGCATGCGGCCGTTGAGAAGCGAATGCAAGCGTGCCAGTGCGTTCGAACCAGCGCTCTCTCAACCCCTCATACTGCACCATACGAAGGGACAGAGCAAGCGCCTTGCCAAACATGGTGCATCCAACGGACATACGAGAGAGCTCTGTGGAGGGCGAAAGAGGACGCTTCCTGGACACAACATCCGGGGCAGTGGTGTCCAGGATCAAAGCTCGCTGCCTTCACTGGGGCATGAGCCACCACGACCGTCCCATCAAGTATGTGTGGCAGTACGATGGTGGCTGCCGCTCTCGTAGCATGTGCAGCGTGAAAGATCGCAATGGCGCAGGGACATTTGGGAGTGTGCAATTCAAGTTGAAGTGGATTGCGAGGAAGGGGTTTCAGATTCTACCCAATCCGGTGCAAGCATTGCAATATCTGCATTTGATTGGCTGCAACGATCCAATGGCATCGCAAGAATTCAATCCGTTGAGACTTTGGTTCACTTGCAAATTCGAGCCATGCAGCAACATCACCCGTATGCAATAGCGTGCTTTGTGCTGGCGGCGCAAGTCGTCGTTTTCACCTTTGGCCCCGTGGTGGGCATTCTGTTCCTGCTCCACGCGGCTGTGTGGTGGGGCGAGCGCCAACGACGGTGCGCAAATGGCGACATTGAAATTGCGCAACCATTGCACGTTGCACCAAGCAATCTCGTTCGTCTGCGATCGGCGCCGCCTGGCGGGCGTATCGTGCTGTATGATCAAAGTCCGGCGACCCCCAGCCACCGCAACACCCGACAAGTTGTCCCTGCGGTGACTCGACCGGTGCAATGCGCATACCACGACGTCCGCCAATCGATCAAGACGAAACTCCATGCGGTGGTCGTGGACTATTACCACAACTTATGCCGGGACGTCGGGGTGTTTCTCGTGCTCCAAATCATGGTCATGGCCAAAGTTCCGACGACTTTGCTGCACTTCACGGAGCACGCGATCAAGTCCGATGATCTTCTCACTTCGTGCATGGTCACTGTAGTCAAAGACCTGTTGTATCTTGCGCTGGCGCGGAAAATCCTTTCACCGTGACACTCCGTGCCCGTTACGTGCAGCCTCCGCCGCACCCACTGCGTGTGCTTGAGGATGACTTAAGTCCTCGGAGCGCGTTTCAACTCATTGGAAAGTTGAAACCTAATCCATAGTTGCATACATCCCATTGTCGAGCCTAGCGCCGAGCGGAACAACTCGTCCTCCTTGTTCATGCGAATCGAAATGCTTGTGCTGGGCCAGAGCGCACCTGACGTGTTAATCCAGCGTTCGAAGGGCGAGCTTGGACGTGTTGGTGAGGGCGGTGCCAAGGCGAAAGGCGACTTCGTGATGGAAAAAAAACAGCCCTCGCTACAGTCCAATATGGCATCCGGATACCTCGGCCGTAACCGTCGCCTCAGAAAATAGTGTAATCCTTCTGCCAATCAAATTCGTGAAAAGCTGCTTGCCGTGATTTGATTGGTGGAATCAATGAGCGGTCGTCACAGTAAATGGCCATTTGCCCATTTGCACAGATGTTGCGGGGGGGAGAAAATAGTGTGCCGACCGATGCGGCGGCCGCTGCCGAGCCAGGTCCGCTGCCGTACGTGCGGAAGCGCAGCCTACAACATGTCGCCACGCACGACGACCGTCTCCGCGTGATGACATGGATGCTTGCCAAGGAACAAACGCTCCTGTCCGAGTCAGACAGCGACGGCACGAGCAGTGCCGTCAAGTCGGATGCGTCGTCGACCAAGATGGCGAAGGTCGATCGATTGTGCTTGGCAACGCAGGCGATCGCTGAGTTTCCTCATTTGTTCCGAGGGTCGGCGCAAGCCAACTACATGAAAGCCAGCCGCTGGTGGAAAGAAAGTCGAGAATACATCTACGGAACGGCAGGTATCCTGCTACGTATTCCTTCCAAGGCATGACGCTTGCTCACACTTGGTATGCAGGCATGACAGGGTCGAAAAAAGCACGAACTGGCCGCGGCCGCAAGACAAATGCATGGACGCTCTGGCTCCAGGAGGAACTCAAGGCAACGCTCGAGATGGAGCGGTCGACCACTACTACGTGGCACAACAAAGACCTCCTGGTACATCAGCATTGCCATCTGCACTTACGTCACATGCTGCTGCCTCAGGTGATGGCCAAGAGCATCTTGGACAATTCGACGCATCCTGAGTTCAACAAGGACTACATCGTGCCCCAGCGCAACTGCGCGCTTGGCGACCTGGTGAACCTGCGTTGGGTGCAAAACTTCAAAGAAAAGTTCCAACGGCAGCATGCCGGCCACCACCACGACGGATCGGCGATGGCATTCGCCGGGCATGCGTATCCCCCCCGACAAACCGACCTGGACGAGGCCATGGAGGCCAAGTTGCTCCAGACGCTGGCGACGATTCGAGCGACGAAGGACGGCCCGCTTGTCAAGAAAGAAGTGATGCACATGGCGAACCAACTCATTCGTGAAGCCCATCCCATGTTCAAAGTTGACACGACGTGGTACAGAGGGTTTTGCGACCGCCATCCAGAGCTCGCGGTGGCGTCGTCAGCCAAGGACATGCCGCAACGACTTCCCGTGGTGCCAGATTTGAACACAAGTACGGCGGCGACTGCAGGACGACTTGACCTTTCAGAGGTGACGGTCTTCCTTGTGTAGTCGCGATGCCGCTCGCCCACGCACCTGCCGCGCATCCGTCCGACTCGACGCCGCCATTCCACACAACGACGTCGTCCCTCGTTATCGATGAAGTAGGCAGGATCTCTGTCATGAGATGGCCAAACGACCGTTGTAGTCCAAAGCTGCCGACTTGTTTCGTGCGATATCGGCCGGGCATTTCAACACGGTCAAGAGTTTGTTGCTCCAGGGCGCTAGCCCTGAAGGATGTGATGAGGTACGCGGGTTACCACCCCTGCCAACAGCTCAACCCGTCGCAGAATGGATGCACTGCGCTGATCGTGGCGACGAGAGCCAGCCATTTCAACATGGTCAAGGTGCTCCTGGACTGTGGTGCCAAGACCGAAGCCACCGACGAGGTAGTACTTACGAACGACTTGCTAGCTTGAACGCTCGATGCAGCATGGATTGACGCCGCTGGTGCTGGCGGCGGCGTCGGGACAGTTCCACGTTGCCAAGATATTGCTCGAGCATCATGCGAACGTAGAAGCGACGGACGACGTACGCCCATGAACGTGACCTGCATGCCCTGAACACCGTCTGTAGCAAAGTAGATCGCCGGTGTTCCTTGCCGCCGAGCGTGGCGACCTCAAGCTCGTCAAGCTCCTTGTGCGGTTTGGGGCAAATGTCGCCGCTCGCGATATGGTGAGCGCAACGACACAGCATGTGGATGGCATACTCACACACACGACGTAATGCAGGACGACAGCACGGCGATTCTGGCGGCGGCAAAGAATGGCCATGGCCAGGTGGTCGACTTTCTCACGAAAAAAGGCACCCCCGCTGCCATGTCCGCCATGGACGGTGCACCGCTCTCCCTTTTGCCCAGAGCCAGCCCGACAACGGAGAGCACCGCCACCAGTAGCAACGTGTTGATATAATGATCGCTGTTGAGTTGGGAAGCACCGCGTTCGAATGTGCCCCGACTTCAGCATGGACCGAAAAGTGCCTCCCGTGTCATGTTGTGCTCTTTATCCTGCACATGTACCGATTTTGCTTGTCGCTTGGCACGGACCACGCTGCATGGCCGTCACACACGCATCTTCCACATCTCCAGCCGCCCCCTGCGTACCGTTGAGCCGTCGTGTTTCACCCTGGTGTCGGTCCAGGTGCAAATTTGAAAAGTATTCCGGATACGCGCTGCCTTTTCCGGATATGGTGGGTTTGAAAGTCCAACTGGAGATTCCCAGCCATCCCAGGGGAGTGAGGACACGATGGCGGCGTCCAAGGGGACCCTCTTGCACACGTCGGAAGCGCGGTCAGGTGCACTGGACGACGACGACAATGTTAGCATTGGCAGTTTGATGAAGAAAGGAAAGAAATCCCACGCGGCCAAGCTCGAAGACAGGTTGCGACTCGCCCACGGCGCCGCGCAGTCGTCGTCCCCACCCGTCACGGTCCAAACGGCCCTCGACATGATCGAATCTGCACTCGCGACGTTGACAGCACAACTCGAGAACAGCAACCGCAACAGCGTGCGCAAGTGCCTCGCCAAAATCGACGACGGCTTGCGTGGGTTGCGGTCGAAAACCCACCGCGACTCCAAGACAACACCCACGACGGACACTTCTGTCAACACAGATCCAGCCACACCTGACAACGCGCCTCACACGCCGTCCGCCATGGATGCGACTCCGTCCCTCGTTGTCACTCTCAAACTGCAGAAGTCCGCACAGTCGTCGACGTTGGCGGCGCCACCATCTCAACCGTCACATCGCGCATACGACGACGCCGTGATCCAAGACCTTTCGTCCATCCCCCTCGATTCATCGTTGCCGCAGGGCGTGTCGCTGCAACTCGCGTTCACACCGGACAGTTTCTGCGAAGGCATCAGGTGGCCTGTGGTCATGTTTGACTCGTTTGACGTTGCCAAAGCGTGGGGCATGGATGTCACGATGCTGCAGCTGCTACATCCCAACTTCGACGTGCTGTCGGACCGCGTCCTCTTCTACTTTGCCAGGGCCAACACGATGCAAGATCTGAACCAGCTCGCCGTTCTGCCGCTAGTCGACGCTGCCCCGATCGCATGGACCTTCGACGCAAACACGGTCTCTGCCGACGAATTGTACCAACTCGCGATGCAGCAGGCCGCGCAGTTTGCTGCCGCGCTGTGTCCGCTGCACGCGATCGAGTTGCTTGCACACTGCGCAGCCGCCGCGGCATCGTACGAGTTCTCAACACCCGACCAACTGGCCGACGCCACGGCCCAGTTGAAAACCGCGATCGAGTCGCCGACGTACACGGAAAGCCAGCTTGTCTTGTACGCGTCGTGGCCGATTCTGCAGGACGACGCGGGGTGGACCGTCGAGCCGTCAGCAACGACCGGCGTCGTCACTTTCGTCGGCGCCGATGGCGCGCGCCACAGCTCCCGCCTTGCGGCGCTGCGATGTGCGTTGGCATCGGCTTCGTTGACCAGTGTACACCAAGTCGCGTGGTCGTACCTCCGAAACGCACAGATTGGTCGGGATTTGGACAAGGCGGCCGTCGAGTGTGCCGGCGCGCGGTATCCATCCGTTCAGGACGCTGTCCAGGCGTATTTTGGAGGCACGGCCCCGGCCTCGCCACGTGGCGCGGTGGCTTCGGACGTGGCGGAAACATCCGTCGATTCGACTGCATCGCCCGTTCCCATGCACAAAGTGCTGGCGGTGCTGGTCTCGAACGAGTATGGCTGGTCCGAGTCGAGCGATAGCGTTGGTCCGTTGTACTGTCGGCCATCGTACGCGACGATGACGAATCCAGTGATGGGGACGGACTTTTTCCGATCGGTGACTGATGTCGAGCTGTACTTGACGAGTCATGAACGCGGCACGTGGGATCGCATTCTCGACCAGGTGTCGAATGGATCGGCCGGTCCCCCATCGAAGCGCCCGACCACGGCATCGCCGCATCCCAAGGCCAAGAAGCGCAAGGTCTCGGGCGTCAAGTCAAAGTCCAAGTTTGTGGCCACGTTTGCCAGCGTGTTTGCGTACCTCGAGACGAAGGGATGGTTTCGAACGAAGACGGAAGCGGGGTGGTGCTACTACAAGCCGAACGCGGATGTGGCGACGGCCGAGCGCGGCAAGACGATGTTTGCGACGGCCGACGAGTTGGAAACGTACCTCAAAGCATCGTCGGTGTGGTCGCGCGTCGCGGAATTGCTCAAGCAAGAGCACACGACGTCGGCGCTGATTGAGGGCGACGCGTGTGGGAAAATCAAGCCGCCGGCGAAACAACCAAAACCCGACGAGCCCTCGGCCGCCGCCAGACCGAAAAAGGCACCGCGTGTGTCGTCGAGATCGATGGTCGTGTCGGCTGCCGCCCCCGAGTTCAAACCCACGTTTAGCAAAGTGTACTCTGAGCTGCAGAAGGAAGGATGGTTTCACCGGAATGGCCAGTTTGGATGGTGCTACTACAAGCCCGGCACTGTTGTCAAGCAGGCCAAGCTCGACGAAGATTTGTTTTCGAACGAAGTCCACCTCGAGCAGTACCTCAAGTCCAGCGGGGAATGGCAGCGCATCGTGGACCAGAAGAACAGGCAGCTCCAGGAATTGTATGGGTTTTACCCGCCAGCTCCTGTCGCGGAAACGCCGACACCAGCCACGGACCCGCCGGAGGGCCAGCTGCCTCCTCCGTGACTTGATAAATGGAAGTTGTGGACTGGTTTTTCACAGTTCTTAGATGGCACACGCTGCGTCGTTACGCCGTGGCGAAGGCTGCGACTACTTTTTTCGGCCTTGCAGCTAGGCTGCGTTCTACGTCGGTCGCTGAACCCTGTCTGCACACGACCGCACGTCGCTGCCATCCATGCTTGTGTATCAACATGCGTGCCATACGTTGCCCTTCGTGTTGGTGAATGCGTCGCCCACGCGATCACGATGGGTTTCGACGAGCTCCACCAACACACACGCGAGAAGCACAATAGCCTCTCTGGCCAAAGACGACACACGCATGCGCACGATGCTATCCCTCCTCTGGGAGTCTTGCAGCATTTTGCGTCCCCATGCCGTCGACAGGCGGCGTGGGCATCGAATTCCTTCTCGAAGCCTCGACTACATCGTCATGAGCCATTGGTTTTCAAACCGTGCGATGTGGGAATGGGTCAACAATCCGGATAATTCTTTGTGACTCCATTTGGGGTAAACACGTTTAACTCCGTTCAACAAAAAAAATAAAAGTAAAAATAAAAAATTATAAAGAAAATAATATTTTTTTACTGGAGAGATGCAACCAATCGAAGACACTTCCTCCGCTTGGCTGTCCTTCAAGAACCGGCAAGCATCCCTCCAATGCTGCCTCCTTCATACTCCTCGCGCATTCTCCGACTGTGCACCTGCGCATGGTGTCACCAGATGCAGTTGCAGCGTAAAACGTGTTCTTGGCATTGTTGTTTAAACGACTTTTGTCCGGTATCCGGATAATCGCCCCGGCATGCCACAATTGAATCGGCCACACCATGGCAACCGAGAGCGATTCGCTGGCGGAGACAGCGACTCCAGCCATTCAACTTGGCAAGACCGCCGACCCCGCCGTGTACGGAGATCTGGATGTGTCCGTTCCGCAGACTCCCGCGGACGATGATAGCTGGACGACGCGGCCGCACACGTTGCTGGTTGGTTTGATCACGTTGGTGTACTTCTTGTACGCCCTGCTCCACGAAGACCCGGCATCGACGTCGTTGGACGACCTCAAGCGCGGCGTGAAATTTGCATGCATTTTCTTCCTGGTGTACTGCGTGTTGCAGCTGCGCGACGGCCACTTCATTCGACCGCACCCTGCGATATGGCGGTTGATCACGGGCATCTTTATCCTGTACGAAATGGTGCTGATCTTGTTGCTCTTCATGAAGACTCCGGACGCGCGAGCTTTTCTCAAGCACTACGACCCTAGCCTTGGCGTGCAGCTGCCGGAAGAAGGGTTTGCCGAGGACTGCCGCCTCTTCACGCCCGAGCACCCGACCAACGCCGTGGCAAACTTCTCCGCGACGCTCTTTGATCGGTTCGTCGTCATGCATTTTCTCGGATGGATTGTCGGCGCGGTCATGATCCGCAGCTACACCGTGTGCTGGTTGATCTCGATCTTGTTTGAGTTTTACGAGCTCAGTTTTGCCCACTGGCTCAAAAACTTTGCCGAGTGCTGGTGGGACCAAATCATCCTGGACGTGCTCTTGTGCAACGCCGCGGGCATTTGGATTGGCATGCGCATCTGCCGGTACTTTGAAATGAAAAAGTACAACTGGGTCGGGTGGCGCAAGATCCCGACCGTGTCTGGCCGCGCCCAACGCTTCGCCGCGCAGTTCACCCCGGCCAACTGGCTCCCGTACGACTGGAAAATGTTTCGCTCGGCGACGCGATTCTGGATGGTCCTGTTTATGGTGGTCGTGCTGTCTGTGATGATGCTCAACTCGTTCTTCCTCAAGACCGTGCTGTGGGTCCCTGCGTCCAACTCGCTCAACGTCGTGCGCCTCACGATTTGGTACAGCGCGGGCAGCTACGCGATTGCCGAGTTTTACGTATTCATGTCGTACACTGCGCCGAGCCACTTGCCGGACGGAGCGACCGCGCCGTCCCGGAAACTCGGCCCCCGCGCCTGGCTCGGCCTCGGTGTCGTCGTGACCGAGATCTGCTTGATCCTCAAGCACGGTCAAGGCATGTTTACGGCGCCGTTTCCCACGATCGTCAAGGTCAGTTGGGCCATTGCGTCCGTGCTGGTCTTTGGCGGGTCGACGGTCTACTTTACCATTGTCCATCGCAACCGACGAGCACTCGCGGCAGCCCACGCGAAAAAGACGAATTAGATTCCCATAGCAAGCAAAATAGAGGTACCTGCGAGTGAACGCGCAAAGTTTGTTTGCCGTCGGCATCCTCGATCGAGTCGACGCTGTCGTCAGTCCTCTACCGGGTCGTCCCGGGGTGCGATCGACCTACCGACGATGCACTCACCCGTGGCAACCAAAGCATGTTTGGGCTTGCCACGATGCCGGCATGGCGTTGTTTTCGTACAGTTGCTGGGCGATGGCGGAAACGAGAATTGTCCTGCCAGATGCTACGAACAGACACGCCAATCCTGCACTTGGCACAGCGTCGTGCAGCAAACGTCGCAAAGTCGTCCATTCGTCACGAGAATTCGCGAGGCATGAGCAGAATGCAGAGGTATTTGAACGATCGATCTGATGGGCGACAAGCAGTGGCGGCTGCGGCCACGATGTGCGGGAGGGCGATCCATCATTTCGCCGGTCTTCTCGGACGTTTGCAGGTAAAAATGTACACCGCGGTCCAAACGAGTCGAGTGTTCAAGCACGAAGTCGCAGCGACACATCGCTCATTTGTGCCACGGCGGCCGTCCGTTGCGTTGGCAGTGTACAGCTAGCTGTCGGGCCATCGCTTGAAGGATGCTGCACAGTGGAGCATCGAAACGCTGTGTTCGGATCCGCACGTTGGGCACTAAAGTCGGAAACTCACGCATGCAAACGTGCATCAACAACATGGAAAACCGAATGGAATTACGTCGTCGACTGTCTTCCACTTCTACAAGGGTTGTTTGCATGATGCTTATGACGACGATGACGCCGCCGCCTTGGCTTCGGCGCCGACACGGGCATCTTCCTTTTCCTTTTCAATCGAAGCACACACCGATTCGACCGTCGCGTCCGGTACAGTCTGCAGGAATGGCACGCGTGAGATGGCCAATGTTCGTGCGGAATCTGCCAGAACGGTTGGAACGTACCGATGAGACACCGCCGCGACGGACGACAGCGACTTCAATGTTTTTGCTACCGGCCTCGACCACTTCCAGCAGTGCCTTGACAGCCAACCGAACCGCGCCTTCTTCGTCCATGTCTTGCACGTAGTTCTTTTCCAAGAACTCCCGAGTCGACTTCTCGTTGCGTCCCGTGGCGTTGGCTTTCCAAGCCGTGAACGTACCCGAAGGATCGGTCTGGTACAATTGTGGCACACCCTTGGTGTCGCAGCCCGCAATGAGCATGGAAATGCCAAACGGACGCACACCGCCTCGCTGTGTGTAGCGTTGTTGCACCTTGGCGACGTACCGAGCGACGTACTCAACAGACGGCGCGTCTTCCACCGTGAGGCGGTAGCTCTGGCATTCCAATCGCGCTTTGTTCACGAGGACACGAGCGTCGGCGGTCAAGCCCGCAAACGCCAATGTGATGTGGTCGTCCACCTTACAGATCTTGCGCACCGTGCGTGGGTCTTGGAGCTTGGCTGTTTCCTTACGTTCCACGGCAAGGACCACGACATCCGCACCGCGAACGCCGACGACGACCGCCCCACGTTTGACAGCTTCCATGGCATATTCGACTTGGAACAAGTGCCCATCGGGGGAAAACACTGTGATTGCACGATCGTATCTGCAGCAGAATCGGATTAGCATGTTCCTAGGTGTGGCCTCGGTCGGTCGACGCACCTCGACGCCATCGCTCCTTCGCTCGTTCGATTGAAATCTGGCGAGGGGGAGATCCCCTCTCATATTTTATACTCATTCAAACAGGTTGGCCAATTGCATCCCCAGGTTGGAGTGGGCATTCTAAGTGCGAATAAAGTGAAGATCCGTACTTCATTGGAGGGGTTTCGGGGTGTTGATCTATCAGCAGTGGCCACTTGGCGCCGACATGACAGAGCGCATCGGGGGCAGACGGGCAGCGTCGCGGCCTTGGGCTGGGTGCCGCTGCTTCAAGAGGGGCAGAAGTGATGGAGGTGGCTTTCATAGGTATTTCGTGGGCTGCTGCACAGCTCGCCATGAGTTAGACATTGGCAGCACGATATGTCCGTGAGTACAGCGTCGCCAGGAGCGTATTGCGACTGATGCGGCAAGTGAGAATGGTGCTGAGTCTCGAATCACAAATGATGTCCAAGACGTGAGCTGCAGGCAAAATGAATGCGTTTTCATGCCCACGCTGATGTGGCATATCTCCACAGTGTGGCCTGCCGTAGCGAACACATGCAATTGCAGCTTTCCATGCATGCGGTGCGTCCACGACGAGGTGGCGTCCATGCAAGTTACATGAACTGGCGGGGGTGTTTAACGTTCTCGGCCACGAACGCTTCTCCATAGCACCTATCTAGCGTCGCAAGGCATGGTGGATAGCGTGGGCATCGGCGGAATATCTGGAACGAGATCGGTTTCCGTCGGTTTCGTTGGATTTCCCGTCTGCTCTTGACCAACCGCCGCTTGGGCGCTCTTTGGATCTTCGCGTGTCCTGGCTTGATGGGAGCGGGAAATAGCCACGAGGCATGTGGACGGCCGCCTCCGCTACCTCGTCGGTTGGACGGACGCTGGGGTCGCATCTCGATGGAACAGCTCTTCGACGACGCGTTCCTGGCCAAGCAAGCCCGTCGCACGGCATTCCTCACCTTGCAGCCAACAGCGTCGGCATCCACGCAGCGCCGGTTGCTCCTCCAAACGTCCGACTTTCAAGACCCGCTGCGGCCGTCGACGACAATACAGGCAACCTCGTTCGCCGCCGGTAACGACGACGACACAGACGAAGTCACGTCCGTGTTGGCAGAAACTATCATGGCGCTCGTGAACCACGACTCGACGGGCTTGGCCAGGTACTCGATCCACCGACTGCGAGATTCGCTCGTCCGCCACTGCGATGTGTCCGACCCCTTTGCAAACAAGGTGAACTTGCAACTGTACTTACTGCATGGCATGCATGCCGCGCTGACCGCACGCGCACGTGTTCCTCCCAGTTCGACCAGTCCTTTGCCTGCCGACAAAAGCGGCTTCCCTGCATCACTACTCTCGTCGCACGAAGCCGCTCTTGGCGTCCACGTGTTTCTTCATCTTGTCCACTCCGTGCTCGGTGCTGCCACGGACCACGACAGACTGGACGTTCGCCAAGAATTTCTTGCGGATCTCGTCCCGCTCTTACAGCAACTCGACCCGCTTTCCCTCGCCCCCACGACTGTCTCGAACTTGTCCATGGCTGCTGCCATGCCGAAAGGTGTCCACGCTGTCCCGGACGTTGTCGACACGTTGCAGGAGTTTCTGCTCGACTTTTGCGACGATGGTTCCGGTGGCGACGTCGCCATGAATGCACTTCTTCGCTTGGCGGTGGCGCGTGGCGCCGCCAGCACTTTGCTGCAGGCGGTACAGGTCTTGCTGGGCGCGACATCGTCCTCGCCGTCGACCCGTCTTGGCCAGGACGTCGCTGGCGACCTGGAGTCCCCTGCCAAGCCAGCTGCTCCGCGACCGTACGGGGCAAAACATCCGCCGACTCCAACAGCCAAGCAAGGTGGTGGCTCGGTGCTGTTGAACCGCGGTGATCCTCCTGGTGAAGACGTAGTCGTTTTGCTCAAGAAGAAGCCCAAGCCGCCATCGTCGTCGTCGACTGCCGTGGCCACGACGTCGTCTGCGTCGATGCCACCGTTGCACCACCACCATCAACACCCAGTCATCCACCCGTTCGCCCCAAACAAGAACAATTGCGACAGCTCGAAAGCGTCGGCTCCCGTTCGCCCCGCTATGCCGGCGACGCGGCATTTTCCCGCCGTGGACATTCGTCCTGTCGTTGTCGCGCTCTCTGCCGTGCCGGATGCGTCGTCGCCACATGATGTCGAGTGGACTCGCGCGTGCGATGACGACGACGACGACGAAGAGCGTGAAGTGTGGAGCTGCGGACAAAACTCGTACGGCGAACTCTCGCACGGGGACACAGCTCCACGCAAATCGTTTGACCGCGTCGAAGCTCTCCAGGGCAAATCGATCGTCCACGTGTGCGCTGGCAACGAACACACGGTAGCTCTGGCCGCCGATGGCAGTGTGTACACGTGTGGGTACAACGATAATGGCCAGTGCGGCCATGGCGTAACCACGCGGCTGCCAACCATGACGGAGGTGGCCAAGTGGCCCGACGCTTCGTTTGAACGCCATGTCGGGCAAATTCATGCGTACAACGGGTGCGAGCACACGGTTGTGGTCGCTCACGACGGCAGCGTCGCGAGCTTTGGGTACAATTATCGCGGCCAACTGGGCCATGGCACCACCACGAGCGAGAGCCTGCCCAAGCGCATTCGAGGGCTCGACACGCGCCGTGTCACGATGGTGTCGTGCAGCTACTACCACACGATTTTGAGCTGCGCCGCGACGACGGGAGGACACCTGACAGAAGTGTATTCGTTTGGCCGCAACGACTACGGCCAGTTGGGGCACAGCGACACACTAGATCGACGGGTGCCGACCCTCGTCGAGTCGCTCTCCAACATTCCGCTCGTGGCCTTGGCGTGTGGACAGTACCACAGCGTCGTGGCCACCACGGCGAACGCTGTCCTCGCGTTTGGCAAGAACGACTACGGCCAACTGGGACTGGAAGCGCTGGACAACCAAGTCGTTCCTGCGGCTGTTGGCGCCGATTTGTGGGGACATGAAGCCATCGTGGACGTGCGGTGCGGGTACTACCACTCGATCGTGCTCTGCCGTGGTGGCCGCGTGTACGGGTTTGGCAGGAACGACTATGGTCAATTGGGTGTCGGCGATGCCGGTGTCCACATGAACCAGCGCATCGCGACGCCCACGGTTCTGACCGACCTGGAAGGGAAAGAGATTGTGCGAATAGCGTGTGGCTGCTATCACACCGTCGCGGTGGCCGAGAGCGGCATGTTGTATGTGTTTGGTCGCAACAACCACGGGCAATTAGGCACGGGCGACACGACGGAGCGGCTAACCCCTTGCGCCGTCGACACGTTTGTGGGAAAACGGGTCGCTGTCGTCGCGGCAGGGTTCTACCACACTGTGGTGCTCACTGGGGGCAAAGATCTCGACGACACACCACCACCGCTGCCGCCCGATTCGACCGCCGTCAAGGCAGCACGTGATCAGGATGACAGCATGTGGACATCGCAAGCGATGCTGGACGTTCTGACTCGAAAGAAACGAACGATGCAACGAAAAACGTTATCGTTGGACCCGACCGTCGACGACGAAGACGACGACCAAGCGGTCGCGCCGCCCCAGCCATCCAATTCAGTGGACGCCGCCGTGTGTGTCCTGGCGCATCTCGATCGCCTTTGCCGACCGTTCATTCCATCGAAGGGAAGTTACCCCGTGCTGCGACCGGACAAGCCCAAAAGGAGCAGCCCGGACCAGTCCGTCAGCAAGTCGACTCCTTCCACGACACCAATCGTTCGTGTGGAAAGCGGATACCGTCCATATTGCGTCGACATGCAATCGGCAACGTTCGACTCTCTCAGCTACATCCTCGATCACTTTTTCCAACCACCTGCGCCATCATCCAAGACAACGGCAGCCGACGCAGCGCACGACAGCCACGTGTACGTGGTGCTCGCAGCACTGCGATTAGTGCAAGCCAATGTGGCGCATCTCCTGAAAAGTGGCGTCGGGGCCGCGATCGTGATGTCATCCGCGACGCCCTCCGAGTTGGGCGGTCCGCTCCATCCACTGGACGGTCCCCTCAAACGGCTGCATCGCATGTTGGTCGAATGGATCAACGAACCCAGGTGGCTCCAAGCGGACACCGACTACCATACCGTGCGGAATGTAGTCGAACGAGAAGCCGTTGAAGCCTTGTTGCTCGGGCTCGAGCTCTTTTACCCTTGTCCAGCTAGCCAAATGCACCTGATTGTGTCCATGTTGAAAGCCGATGCGGTCGGAGGTGCGTCGCCGCCGTCGCCGATACCTTGTCCGACTTGCCACACCCACGACATCGTGGTGCCGAAGCCTCGCAAAGTTATCGTCGAGCCCTTGCTTCGTCGCATGGCCGACGACAACCTGTTGGTGCACTTTTTGCGCCAGCCCATGAACGACACAAACCACAACGCCGTCACCGCCAAAGGCCTGATGTCGATGCTGCTGGAGAAAATCGCCGCCACCACGGACGACTTGCTCGTGGGCAAGGCATTGCAACTCGACGTGCCGGCGCTGCGGCCGTATGTGGTGCTCCTCAATGCCATGCAAAAACAATTGGCGAGTTGGGCGGGGGACGCAACCACGTGGCACGTCCACGTGGTTGAACCGTCTGGTGGCTGCCAGCAACCGCCCCTGGTGCAGCACGACGACGACTTGCCGCTGTCATGGCGGTGGTTCCTTGACTACGCCGCCGCGGTGTTTGACCATGCGGCGGACAACCTCCATGCAACTGCCCCACTCACTGCGGACGACGGATTTCTTGACGGAAGTTTGAACGTGCTGGAAGCGTCCATCGTGGGCTCGATCGTCCCGTCGCTCGCGACTACGTTGCTCCTGTTCCACCACGTTGCCCCGTTTGCAAGAACGCTGCTACCCAATGTCCAGCAGGTTTTGCGCCTCGTGGACGGGTTGAATTCGTATATTCCAGCGGCAAAACTCGCCAACGCCAACCTCCTTCGCACGAACGACACCGCGGACAGCAGCGTTGCAACACCATGGCACGTTACGCTGGAACGACTCCTCGTTCAACTTGCGTCCGAGATGGCGGCCACGTTGGTCGTTGGCGATCCATTGCACGAATGCCCCACGACGGCGGGTTTGCCCAAGTCGTCTACTGTCGACGCTGTGTCCAGGTGGCGCCAACTGCTACGAGGAGGGCTCGAAGCCCAAACGCTGAGCACATGCCGCGTCGTTCCGCACGCCACAGCACGATCGTTGGCTTCGACGGAAGCGACGTGTGCATCGTCTCTGCTCCCCTTGCCCCCGCGGTCACCTGTGCCATCTCACGTGGCGCCGTTGACTGCCGCGAATTTCGTCGCTCTTTGCAGCTGGGTGCGCTCGGTGTACGCTTCCCAAGATGCGTCGTATCGATTTGTTATCAAGACTTCGCGCGGCAACGTTGACGAGATCGAACAAGCGGTGTACCGCGCCATCCTAAAACACACTGGTCATGACGGCGACGCCGGGTTGTGGGCTGCTGCTGCGGCGGCGGGATCGACAGCAAAGCGATCCCCGCCACAGATCTTGGTGGCGCCGTGGGCGTTGGTGGCAGACTGCACGCGGACATTAGCGATGCTGAAGAACACGTGGCAAAATCAACACTCGGCCGACGACGACAGCGGCACTGCCGTGGACCGCGGCGCGCGGTTTCGGCACGAAGTGCTCAAGCGCTGCGCGTTTCTGCTGGATGTTGTCGCGGCTCCACCGGAAAACTCGGCCGCATGGACTCCCGACGACCTTGGTGGGGTTGCACTCCCGTCCGACCCCCTTCCCGAGCCATCCCACATGCCCCACGCGGTCTGGCAGCGTCGTGCCAAGGCCGTCCGCCAGGCGATTGCCACAGGTTGCTCGATTCCGTTTGTCGCTCGATGTCCCCCGTCGACGTGGAAGCGTTTTCGCATGCTTTTCCACGTCACGGTGCGGTGGCGGCGCATTGTGGCGACGGCCCGCCACCAATCTTGCCCCGCTTGGCTCGGACAGATCGTGTCGTTTGTCCTGGACACGTCAGACAGCGTCGACGTGGACGACTTGCGACGAGAACTAGTTCGGAGATGTCGCCGGGCCAACTCGCGGGCGCTGGGGCTGCACACGTTTGGGGACTTGATCACGTTTACGTCGCACATGCGCGCTATGCACACGCCAGTCCTGAATCGGCTCGGGACAGCGTTACGCCAACGCCTGGACGGCCGCGTCTTGCATGGACTGGATGGCGTTGGTGCGTTCTACAGCGGTCGCGTCCTGGCCGCGTTTGCCACGATGCTGTCGACCGTTGCTTCGATGGTGTCCGCATGCGATGGCACCCACGGCCCTCGGATGCTGGCGGCACTGCAGTGTTGGGGCTTTGTGGTCGAGCCAGAGCTGTACGCCGTCGTCGACGACATTCAAATCGTGTCGGTGTTGAAACAAATGGTTGTTCTCGCCAAGAACGAAGACAACGTCGACGAACGTGATGTGGCCGTGCGGGGGGCAACTTGGGCGGCATTTCGATACCTCGTTTCCAGTGGCAGTGCCCAACATGCCAATGCATCGACCGTGTTGGTTCCGAGGCAGCCTCAGTGGAAGCGTGTGCTGGATGCTCTGTACGCCGCGCTCTTGTGGAGCACGAATGCCATCCTGCACGACACAACGCGACCCCCGTCAGAAGCGTCGTCGTCGCTAGTTCTGCGCACCACACGAACGTTCGCCGCATTGGATCGCAGCACTGTTGTCCCAGTCACTCTCTCGTCCGCGTTCACCGTGCAGTTTTGGTTGAACATTACAAAACCGCCCGACCCTGGAGCGAGAGGGATGGTCGTGACCATGGGAAGCCACCCCAAGGAGTGGGTTCCATATTGTAGCATTGGAGACGGAAGCCATCGAAACAGCGGCGCGACGGAGGTGGAGTTGGAAGTTGGTCTGCGGCAGCATTCGTTCCAAGAATGTGTTCAGCATGTCGTGGCATGCCAACGATGGCTGGCTGTCGCAATTGTGTACGATGCCACCGCCCTCCACCTCTTTGTGAATGGGGAAGTCGTGTGTGTGAAATCCATCTCGTCGCTGCACTTGGTGGACGCGCCAACGCCTGCCACGTTGACCATGGGGAAGCCCAGCCTTCAGTTGGACACCGCATGGCCATGTACTGGCTTTGACGGGTGCCTCGCCCACCTCCACGTTCACCAAGACGCGCGCACACCAGTGGACATTGCCGCAGATTTTGCTCACGGGCCACCCAACGCGTTGATGGACCGGTGCTGCTATCAACTTGGGATTGTCAGCTTGCTTCTGGCACATTCGAGCGAAGGCGTTGCCGAGCTCACGTCCCCGAAATGGCTCGATGTGTGTTTTTCCCTCCTCGAGGCTGCCAGCACGTCCATCTCGTTTCGCATCCAGCAGCTTGTCCTTCGTCTGCTCAAGCGGTTGCTTCCGTACGTCGACCCGGCCGCAACGCCTCGTTTCGGATCGAACAAGGACATTCCGTTGATCCCGTACTGGATGCAACGAATTGGACGGTCGGTGGTCGCCGTGGCAACCTCGACGTCGTCCTCGGTCGCTGCGACCACAGCCCATTCCTCGCAGCAAGGGCATGTCGCACTGGAACTCAGCCACGTCGTCATGCACTTGGCCACCGTTCCAACATGGATGGCGACCATCCAAGCTGCACTCGAAGCTGGCCTGGAATCCGCCATGGCGTACCAACGATCGGAACTCACTTCGATCGATGCCGTGGCCTCGGCGGTCGGCGCTTTCTACGTTCTTGGTGGGTTTGTCGAGCCCTTGCGCGTCGGGGCCATTGTCGAGCTGACCCAGTGCAAGGACATTGGCACAATTGTATCGTACCGTGCCCCGTTTGCCCAACTGGTGCTCCACAAGCCGCACAAGGTCCTGCCATGCCAGACTTACGACGAATGGGTGGAGGCAGTGCACACCAGGTCGTCGGCGCCGGACGAATTTGGCAAGACGGTGCGCCTCAACACGGACGAACTGGCCGTGTCATGGCGCGAGCACCCGTTGATGTCGGCGTCGTCGTGGGCTCTCTTGCTACAGACGACGGTGGCATTGCTGCATGGACCGACAGACAAGGTTGAAACACATGAAGTTCTCAAACCGTCGGCACCGTCGCTCGGATTCATTCAAAGCAGCGCGTTGAATGCGCTCGTCCATGGCCTTCGGCAGCAACCGTGGTCTGCCACGAACGCGCCGTCGGGCGTGTGGAACCACCCCGACTTCCTGCCGCGCTTGTTGGCGTTAGCCACTCAATCGGACAAGTCGACGCAATTTTGCTCGCTCGGCGAAATTGAACAGAAAGTGGCCATGGTGCGGAGGCGGCTGTACGAACTCGAATCATCCAATGCGCCGTGCGTCGCGCTGCCAGAAGGTTCCGGCGACGACGTCACGTGCCATGACGGGGACCACGATGGCAGCGACGCGACGGCTCGGAAGGACGCAATACGTCCTTGCTCGAGTGGTCACGACGATGACCCGGATGAGGACGACGAGAACGAAGACGACGACCAGGACGACGACGACGACGAAGACGACGAAGACGAGGGAGAAGAAGCCCGGGCCGAGTTTGTCGAAGAGCTGTCGTTGATGGGATTTCCCGAGGATTGGTGTGTCATGGCGCTGAAGCACACGGACAACGACATGATGTCCGCGTCGGCATGGATTGTGGACAACTTGGAGTACTTGAACACGCTGCAGGCAGCCAAGGACAAGGAGGACAACTCCAAGGAAGTGCTATTCAACGACGAAGAGGACGACTGCGACGACGGGTACGATGGCAGTGGGGGTGTGTGTGCGCCGGCCACGATGACCCCGTCGATGGCGTTGGTTTCCACGGCAGATGCCAGCCGAACGTGCATGCCGGCAGCAGAGAGTCTGGTCCCCTGCCTGTTGCCGGGCGAAGATGGGTCGTGCCCAACGATCCCCAACACACTGTGGGCCGACGCCGACATGAAGGAAACGGGACGAAAAGTATTTGGCGAGACATACTTTCCATTTGAAGAAGGCGGCTTCCTCTCCAACATGTCGTCGCTGTTCCTGACCGTTCGGCTTGGCAACCAACCGACCGCAGGTCCCGGCACCACCGCCGCCACCACGCAGTCATGTGCCGACGCCTTGCAACAGTTTGCAATGGAACTTGCCAACGCTACAGACGTCGGCGCGTTGGCAACGTCGCTCGAGCAATCGTTGCAGGTCCATTACGCCCGTCAAGCCCTCGCGCTGTACTTTGCGACGTGGCAACGCGCGCACTCCCTCGACGAATCCACAGAGAGGCTGTTGTTGGTGTATGCAAAAGCAGTCCTCTTCCGCGGCCAATCGTTGCCACCTCCGCGGGAAGGCAGCCCGCTGGAAGTCGTGCTGGCGTCGGTGTTGGATGCCGCGCTGAATGCCAACATTCGACGTGTGGGAACGCTCGTGTGGGCCACGATTGCGTCGGAATTGCGTCAAGCGTGTGCTTCCAAGTACGAAGGGGTTTTGTGGACACAACGAGATGTGACATCGGGGGACGAGTCGGTGTTGTCGGGTCCATCCGTCGAGTTCGCCGCGTGGCTAGTCCAGTGTTTCTTTGCCCAGGAAGACAGGCTTTGTGCATTCGTCGCGAGCGTCGACTGTCCGCGTTCGCTTGGCAAGGTCATCGGACAGCTCGTGCCGTGCCTCGGTCATTCGAACGTGGCGTTGAAGCTCGTGGCGGTGGATGCGCTCACGCGACTGCTCCACTGCAGTCGGTACCGTTGCCGACACGCCATTTCGTCGTCCATGCTAACCCGAGACGACTTGCATGGATTGGATCGGAACGTGTTGGTCGTCATCGCGCGGCGGCGCCAGCTCCGCGAACTGTCCCAAAATCGCTTCTTCTATTCGCCATATTTGCAAGGACTGCTCGAACTCATTCGGGCGTTGCCGCCCGTGGAAACTCCGACGATGGCATGGGGCTTGCAGCTTGTGCGGGCATCCGAGACGTCCCTCACGTTGGCATGGCCTAGCCCAGTCCAGCCCGACCAAGGATTCCACCGCTACGTTCTCGAACAAGCCCCAACACACCCTGACGGCGACGCTGCTCCGCGTGTTGTGTACAGCGGGGTTGACCATCAATGCACGTTGTCCAACCTCACGCCCCGCACGTCCTTTACGTACACCCTGCGGGGGGAGAACCGCAGGGACGATGCCGACGGCGTGAACCACACAACTTCCGGGACGTTTACGACAAAGGCGACGACCGACGGTTCAAGTCCGGCCTCGACGAGCCCGTTTGTTTGGGACAAAAAGAAGTGCCGAAGCGGTTCGCTTGCGTTTTCGGACGACAGCCACAGCGTGAGCTTCAACGGGAACGAGGCGTGGCGCATGGTACGGTGTGTGCATGTCCAAGGGTGAACAACAACGATGCGTGGCGTAGGTCCTCGGCACAGAATGCTTTGTCGTCGGTCGGCATTCGTGGCAAGTCAAGGTCGAAAAGTCGAGCAGCGCGTACTTGTTTTTGGGCGTGGCAACTCGCCGGGCCAACCTCGAGTCGTTCCTGGGAGCGGACGAACACAGTTGGGGCTTCATCGGGGACGGGGCGCTGTACTACCAGCGCAACCGCGTCAAAACGTACGGCGAACCGTTTGGCGAAGGCGACGTGTTGGCGTTGGACCTCGATTGCGACCTGGGGACGCTCAGTTACTCGAAGAACGGCGTGCCCCTCGGCGTAGCATTCGACAACGTTGTCGGCGAGCTGTATCCCGCGATTGCGTTTTACACGCGCCATCAAAAACTGTGCCTTGTTCCGTCAGGGTACAGCTGCACCGTGGGGCTCAAGCTACAAGGGTCTCCGACCGAGTCGACGGTCGACGAGTACTTGGACTGCTGTGCCGTCATGGAAGCCATGACGTCGAGCACCAAGCTCCCCCGACGACTCCTCGTCCGTGCGTACGACGGGTACGTGTTGTGGCGGCGTGAAACGCGGTGCCGCGTCATGACTCGCGCTGGGTACGAACTGTTGTTTGATGTGTCCGATGCCACGTGCGTTCCGTTGGGGTTCAAGGCAAAGGACAAAGTCAAGACGCCGAGGGGCAATGGCACGGTGGTGGGGGTCGCGGACGGACGTCTGTGGGTAGAAACCGACGGCGAGAGCGGCGCGGCCTGGTTCTTTCATCCGTCCAAAGTCAGGTTGCGAGGGGGGGTAGGCTCTGCCTCGATCACGCCCCCCGCAGCCCCCATGCTTGACCCGTCCATGCCGGATCATTCCCTTTCGCTCGACGACTTTGCCCGCCTCGTCGACTGCGACCAGTGGACCCTGTCGCAAGATGCGAAACTCATTCATGTCCTCAACGTCGAATGCGCATCGTCCCGCACGAGTCCGTGGAACATCAGTCATGCCAAAGTCCGCGAGTTGGTCGCGGCGTGGCCAAACGTCGACGCCGCCGTCGGCCGCGTCGGCGTTCTCAAAATGTTCAACCATGTCGTGAGTCGGACCATGCCATTTTTTGACCTCACGTGGCACTATTTCAACCCGAAACGAGGGCTGGGCAGCGGCAGCGCGCCGGCCCTGCTGTCGGCGACACGGGCTTGCCTCTTTACGGCATTCAAATACAGCGTCCTCGACACACTGCTCGAGAAGACGCTGACGCATCCCAAGAAGGCCGACGACGACTACGACTATCCAGAAGACTTGCCGCAGCTCATGGTGAATCGGCCAAAGGCGGCAGTCGCCCGGTTCAAGGTCGATCTGGACACGGTCGTGAGCCAGAGCCTGTTTGGCCAAGCCTTTGACGAGCTTCATTTCTTGGACAACAAAGTGCTTCGCATGGTACGGGCGCGGGTCGTCGTCGTCGGTGGTTCCCACACGGCGGCGGGATGTTTTTGTAGGTGTACTCGCATCCGATGGACGATGGCCAGCTGCGAACGTTCAAGGTCAAGTTTGAGGGCGAGGGCGCCGACGACTATGGAGGTCCGTACCGCGAATTCTTTGCCCAGTTCGTGTCCGAGGTGCAGTGCCTCAAGCAAGGTACGTCTTTCGTCGTGGTTCGAAGCGTCATGCCGAGAGAGAGTAGATGCGATGGAGTGCATGTTGCCGTTCCTGATGCCGAGTCCCAACTGGCGCAACGGGCTCGGGTCGCATCGGGAAAAGTTTGTGTTGAATCCGACGCTGGTCGTACGAGATTCCAAGTGGAACCAAGGCGCGGCGCACAACCCGGTCGACAACACAGCGCTGTTTCTCGAGATGTATCACTTTCTCGGTCAAATGCTGGGGATCATGCTCCGGACGCGCGTGTTGGTCCGCTTGGATTTGTCCACCGCGATCTGGAAGCAGTTGGTTGGCGTGCCGCTGGACGCGTCCGACTTGGCCGAAATCGACACGGCCGCGTTCACGTTGCTCCAGCAACTGAAGCAACTCGACCCGACGACCGCCGCCGACACGTTGGCAGGTCTCGACTTGACGTTTACGACCCACTTGTCGGACGGGACGTTGGTGCCGGTCAAACCGGACGGCCATGGCATGCCCGTCACGGCGGACAACGTCCGAGAATACGTCGACCTGGTCCTCCACACGAGGCTGTACGAAAGCGCGTCGGCCATCGACGCGATCAAGCAAGGGCTGTGCACGATCGTGCCATCGAACGCCGTGGCACTGTTTACCCCCGTCGAGCTCGAGACGCGCCTGTGCGGTCGAGCCGACGTCGACGTGGGTCTGCTCCAAGCCAACACCGAGTACGACGAAGACTTGAGTGCCGACGATCCGTACGTCCAGCGGTTCTGGCGCGTGCTCGTGGGGATGTCGCAAGAGGATCGATGTGCGTTCCTGCGCTTTGTGTCGGCGCGGTCGCGGCTCCCCCAGGACCAACCATCGTTTGGGCAAAAGTTCAAGATCCAGTCCGCGTCCGGCGAAGGCATGACGCACAACCCCGACGACTCGCTGCCCAAGTCGCACACGTGCTTCTTCGCCCTCCTCCTGCCCAAATACTCGTCGGACGACGTGTGCCGGAAACAGTTTTTGTACGCCATTCACAATTGTTTGGAAATGGACGGCGACTTCCGCCTCGCCGACACGGAAATGACCGGGTGGAGCGACATCCACCCGAACGACGCCCTGCGCATCTAGTTGTGTCATCTAAGCCATCGAAAGACTTGTTTGTCGAGCACACACGACTGTTTAGCCCGCCCGCCCCCCGTCCTCTACAACGTTGGCGAACGCATCAAGGTCCCGCGCCGGCTCGATAGCCGTGTCGCAGTTTGAGCCAGGAATGTGTCCGTCGGTCGTACGCGACGAGGCGACCCCTGTGTCGCAGGCGAACGGGTGCGTAACGAGTGTGAAATGTTGCTTGGGGGAAGAGAGATGCCGGTCGGGATGGACGTCACCCTCGCCGGCAGCACGTGCAGGCGCGTCGGTGTGTGCTTGCGACAACGGGCCTCAATGCATCCCATTGTGCCATGCGCGGCTGCCTCGTTCCGCGTACCCGGTCCCGCCACAGCTCCATGAAGCCCACAACGTGATCAAAGCGCGGGTGGGATGGTCGATCGAGACGGACTGCGTTGTCTCTACGTGCTACAGTGGTACGGCCAATCGGTGGGTGGCGACGATCCGGATCCGGATAACCAGTATGGGCGCCGCACGACAGCCTGGACCGTGGAGGGGCATCGGGTTCGGCGCACAGCGCAGCACGACGGGGCATCGCGCCGAATGTGTACCCCCGGTCGGGGAATACAAGCGCTCGCTCTCGTGGGAATGATAGCGGCAATTCCCCTGTGTACGTATCCATGCGTGGCACCCTCGACATGGCAACATGCCGTTTGGTCCGGATGTCTCGACAACCTACGAAACATTTTGGCAACGCGCGAGATGGTTCTCAACCGGCTAGTCGCACGGACGAACGTCACGTGGTTTGTGGTACCGTCCCCCACGCAACCACGTTTCAAGAAGTCGCACAAGCCCCCGACGCCCCCCCCCGACGCCCCCTACCTCCCCCGCGGCTCGATTGTCACAAACTTGACCTGTTTTGAATATGTTTACTGGCCACCCCCTCTTTCGACTCCGCGAACTACGGTAGAGATGGACTTTGTCGGGTGACAAGGACGAAGGCGTGGCTAGGTTGATCCTGTGGCAGGAATAACCAATACGAGTACATATATGACCCCCCCCCAGATGGATGCTCGCCATTGTCGTTCGACACTCTCGCCGTACGCGAATGGGCGCACTACTGCATCTAGTAGAATCCCGCGAATAGTCGTACCGCCAAAGAAGGCCCCCCCCCACGGCATCAAGCGAGCTGGTGTGCCCTTGGCAAGGTGCTCCCCATCTGTGCCAGACTTTCGCTAGGCGATAAACTGGTCGTTGTGCACCCAACTTCCTTTTTGTATCTGAAAGTGCTCGACGTAGGCTGTAAATCGATGACACACATCCCCATCAGCTGCGCGGCATGGAAACCGGGTCTTTTCTGCCACGAGCTTTTTTCTACCTCGTGCATACAAATACCAAGTATGTAAAGTTCAAGTTGAAAAAATTCTCGACCAGGTTGCCCGCGATCTCATCCTTCAATGTACACGCACAAAACGTGCATTTTCAAAGCGCGTGCTTTCCTTTCACAATTTGGTGGGGGACACTTGAAGCATATCTTTGTATATAAAATAGCCTAGTTTTTGGAATATGAGTAACCGACATTGATGACTTTTGTACCCACACAACACCCACGCATGTCGACGACCGGGAAAAGGAGGGCAGGCGTGGCAGGGCATGTGTAAGGGTCGGTCTGTTTGTGTCGGGCCTGCGCTGGCACAACGACCATTTCGCAACTTGCTTCGCCGCGCGCGCTCATACAGATATGCACTGCACACCAACGCCATCGTTTCTCGTGTACCCTGCCGACTACAGCAGCACAAGCAACATGCCGACGGCGGCATGGGCGCCGCCGGCGTTTGCGTACGCGTCGTACTCGACCAACAACGTGATGCCGCCGACCACATTGAGTGCCAATAGCCCCGAAAAATGCGCATACAGAACTGGCAAATGTTTCAACGTCCGCGCCAACAAGCGCAACGGGATGCCACACAAACTGTGCGCTTTCCACCGGGAAAAAGCCAACTTGAACCAAATGAAGCTCGACCAGAAGAAACGTCTGCGGCGCGGCAGCTGCGGCGACGACGATAGCACCAGCTCGACGAGCTCGGCAGAACCTCCTCGCAAGCAGCCATGTGTGACTCGACCAAGTTTGAGCGACCCCCAAGCGATTCCCACTCGCCTGGACGATGCCCCGCCAGTCCTCGCCGTCGACGAACTCGACTTTTTCTGCGACGCCATGAGCCCCCGACAAACGAGACTCCTCCAACTCCAGCGCGCTGCCGCCGCGCAATCCCATTCTATCTCCCTCGAGGTTGTTGTTTAGGTCGCCCATGTTGAGCTCTCAGCAGCAAATTCATCCTGAATGAGTTGTATTTAATGAACCCCCCCTCCCTTCTTCCTCTCGTCAGTCGTACTCTGCCTTGGGCCGCATGCAGCCATTCATTTACCTGCAGGATCGACGCCAGGCCACCCTGCAGTTGTTGCCAGGCCGAGGTTGCTGGGGACTACTCTGGACGACCGACTGCCGAGCCGCAGACGTCCACAAAAGTCGGGGGCGGATGTACCACGCGCGTCGCTCTCTGTGGCTACCCCGAAGCCTAGCTACACGTCCTGGCAAGGTACATGGTGGCTGGATGGAGTAATCCTTGAAATCAGAGAGCCCACGGCTAGTCGACGGACCTGCCGAATCAACCACACAAATTCGACTGCATGCGACGACAAGCGCAGCGCCACTAAAGTCGGCCAGGTGCCGGACGATCTGTACTGGATTCTGCACGATCAGCTCTTTCTTTCTAGACAGATGGAGGGTACGAGGAGTGGCGCGTCCACCAGGCCTGTCCTGATGATAGGTGCATGCGCTGGCGAGGTCAGGCGGAAGGCATTTCGGAGCCCTGCGATGACCGCCACGTCGACGAGGCATGTCTGCATCAACATTGCAACCTTCACCCTCGTCCCCATGCATCCAACATGTCCAGGAGCGAAAAATTGCCACTCGACCGAAGAAGTGGCATGATGTGGAATCGATGGCGCTTCGCCATCGTGGCCACGAACGCAGGCATGTTGTCCAGGTGACTCGCATGCCGTCGTCCTGGCTGGTCACTCTGACATATCCATCCGCCCGACGTTCCCACTCTGGCCCTCCGCCACGGCTGTGTCCTGTACGGCAAACGTAAGCAAACATGACTGATGCGCCGCCGCCGCCCATGGGTGGTGGAGGGGCTTGTACCACCAACATGGACGATGGTGCAGGCGGCGCTCGATCCAGCGACGTGCGAGACAACCTCCATCATATCCTTCCCCCACGACGACGACAATCATCGAACTCTTGACAAGATGCCAGCAAGGTGGTTTTTGATCGAGGGGGAGTGTCTAGACAGTCGAGAGGGGGTCCTAGTCGCCGTCCTCGTACTTGCCTTGGACGCGGGCGTTGGATGGGTCAAATACGGCCTTGGCGTGGAACGTGGCGGGCACACGTCGTTCGTTGAGGGTCTCGATTTCGTACTTGCCTTCTTTCAAGTACGCCGACGTGATGGCGTCGCCGTTTGGGTGGACCACGTAGCCGTACCCGACGCTGCGTCCGACTGTGTGGCCGTACGCACAGCGCCGAATGAACCCGACGCACTCGCCGTGGCGCCAAATCGCTTCGTTGCCTTTGAGTGGAATGGTTTCGTCGGGGGTGAGCGCGATGAGCTTTTTGGACACGCCGTGCGCCTTTTGCGCAGCAATCGCGGCTTTCCCGACAAATTCGCGGGGCGTGGTCAATTTCACAGTAAACAGCATGCCTGCTTCGACGGGCGTGTCGTCCGACCGCACATCTTCGTGCCAGTGCTTGTACCCCTTTTCCACGCTCATCGAGTCCATGCACAGGTATCCTGCATTGACGACGCGCGGGTCCGTCGACGCGATCGCGGCATACACGGCGGCGCAGCCCGCTTTCGGAATATGGAGCTCGTACCCGAGCTCCCCGACAAACGTGAGCCGGAGCACTCGCACGCCTGGAACGCCCGCGACCGTGGCCAACGTGTGGCTCGAAAATGGCAGCGCGGCGTCGGTCAAGTCTGCGCTCGTCAATTTCTCAAGAATCGACCGACTCGCTGGACCTTGCAAACTGAGCACGCCAAAGTCGTCCGTGCGGTCGACGAGAGCCACGTCGAACGACTCGACATTGTGGCGGATCCACTCCCAATCGTGGGTCGCAGACGCCCCGCCCGCCACGATGTAGTACGAGTGTGGCCCGAGCTGGCTCACGGTCAAGTCGCACTCGATGCCACCGCGGTGGTTGCACATGAGGGTGTACACAGTCTTGTCCACGCCCTTCATTTCGTTCGTGCACAAGTACTCGATCGCAGCGGTCGCGTCCGGGCCGTCCAAAAAGAACTTGCCAAAATACGACTGGTCAAACATGGCCGCATGACGTCGGCACGCAGCCACTTCTCGCGCGACAATGTCGTGGCTTGCGGGCCACCCAAACGTGTTGTCTGCTTCGATGGCTGCCAGGTAGTTGTCCGTGTCGTGAGTCGGGATGTCGTACGCCCCGTAGTACGTGTACGGCTTGATGGCGGCGGGCCTGCCGTCGACAGCAAAGTAACCTGGCCGCTCAAAGCCATGGCGGGTCTGAAAAACACAGTTGGCCGCCGACAGCTGAGCGTGGAACGGCGTCAGTCGCATGTTTCGGCCGGCGAGGGGCTCGTCATGCGGAAACACGATCGCATAGTTCTTCGCGTACGCTTCGTGGGACCGCTCCTTGTTCCACCGAGTGTGGCCGAGCATGGACGGATGGAACCGATGGATGTCGTAGCTAAACATGTCGAGGGATGGCCGACCGTCGACGATCCACTCGGCAAGCTGGTGGCCGCACCCACCGGCCAACATGATGCCGGCAGAATTGAATCCGCAGCCCAAGTAAAACCCCGTCACACCGGGCAGTGGGCCCAGCAGCGCTTTGTGGTCTGGCGTGAACGATTCGGGGCCACACACCGTGGATCGCACCCCCGTCGACCCGATCACGGGCACGCGGTTCACGGCGCCGTCAATGTGCGTGGAAAACACATCCCAGTCCAAGTCGAACAGGGAAAACGCAAAGTTGGGATCGACATCGCGCCAAAAGATCGGATTCGGCTCGTACCCTCCAACTTGTAGCACATCGCCCTACACGTACAAGTCACGCCATTCCAAACACTCCACGAAGTCTCCACACGACGGATGCACTCATGCAAGTGACTATCGGCGAACAGTGCTCGACAAGACCACGCGATGGCCGGGCCACCGGTCCCCATTGTCGAGACGACGGCAACTGGGGACCCACCAACGTCCGTGCCGGCCACCAACGCCGGCTAGCTGCCAAGCAGAGCTCGGCACACCGCGAGGTCAGCACGAATGCACGTGGTAAACAACGACAACTCTGACAGGCCACGTTCGCAACAAAATGCAGGCATTACTTGGAGTTTGAGGTACACGGACGCGTCGTGGTCTCGGACATTTGGCATGTTCTGGATGCCTTCGATACGCTCCGTCACAACGTACGCGTGGTGCATCGCACAGAGCGGGATGTCCTGGCCGACCATCTGCGAGATCGCTGGCGCCCATACCCCCCCGCAGTTGACGACATGCTTGGTTTGAATCACGTGACCGCCAGCGACTTGGACGCCAGTGACTTGCTTGCCGTGCTTTGCCGGCCTGGTCACGATCGCTTCGACGCGCGTGTGCTCGTACGCTTTGGCTCCAAGCTGTCTGGCCCCCTTGGTCAGCGCGGTAACCCATCCAGACGGATCGATGGTGCCGTCGCCCGGAGAGTACAGTGTGCCTTTTAAGTCGGACACGTTCATGAGTGGGTAAAGCTGCTTGGTGTCGCTCGGCGACAGAACTTGGGCCGGGATATCAAAGTATTTGCCTAACGTCGCCAGTCGCTGGTACTCCGATAGCCGTTCGTGGTTGGCCGCGATGAAGAGACCGCCATTTTCGACCCACCCCGTGGAGATACCCGTCTCTGCTTCCAACGACTTGGCCAGATCTCGCGTTCGTCGGATCTACCCGACACACGTCACAGCTGACGGCCAACGAACATTCGAACACATCGTACCAGTTGGATGTCAATGTCACTCGGGCGTAAACGCCACAGTAACCCAGCACTGTGCCACGTTGTTCCAGCCGTCATTTGGTCTTTCTCCAGCAGGACCGCGTTGATTCCAAGTCGGCCAAGGTGATACAACGTCGACGCTCCAATCGAACCCCCGCCAATGACCACCACATCCGCCGACGACGGGAGATCTTCGCGGGGCGACGTCGTCCCAGACATGCATCTACTCGCAACGTTGCTGGCGCCACGCGCGGTGGCTGGAATTCGCCTGGCACGACCTAGGAGGTAGCGATGCATCGGCCTCGTTTCTCTAGTGGAAAAGGGTCAAGTGTCCACAAAAGATCTTGAGAAGTGGCACGACTGGGATCGTGGGGATATCATGGCATTTCATTCCACACAAGACAATTAAATTTGATGACCTTGTCCATACAAATTGGTCAATTTATTTCAATTTGAGGCTTGCTTCGTGAAACTATATTCAAACGGGCGTTTGGTCGTGAGGGAGTACAATATAATTCTCGTTTCGGATGGAACGTGGTCTTAAGATACGACAGAATTAAATATGACTGTTCAGGCGATACTGATTTCACTATGTAAAAATTGGAGTTGCGGACTTAGTGGAAACTTCCACCAGGTGGTTGACGTACAGGGAACGTATTTCTGGTCACAACCATCCTCCTAAAAAATAAAATAGGTTTGGCCAATCGATGACAATGTTATCGACATCAAAGCAAATCGCTCTTACTCCTTTACACCAAAAAGACCGACCACCTCCAAAACATGATTTGTTCTAAAGAATTCTGCCACCTGTATACTTCAATACCAAGTCAGACATGCCAATCCTTTTGACCAATTGCAGTGCAAATACAATAGAATCTGTGATTGACTGACTGAAATTCTTCTAGTTATAGCCAATCAAGTTGGACAAATTCAAGAAGTTTTAATATATTGATTTTTATTCTTCCTCAATGCATTTTCAGGATGAAACTATGTCGGCTTTTTCCGGAGTCCACTGTATCAGCCAGCAATAGGTTACATGCCTGGGTCGATATTATCTCCTTGGTGTGTCCAAGTGAAACAAAGTCACGCCTGAGGGATATTCGAAACCTTACATGACGTAGAGCGATACGGTAAGGTTAAGCTGGGGTTGCAGCCGCGGGCAGCAGGCACCAAACTGCTCAGCCAAACGGACATCGGATTATTCATTTTAACTTCTGCATCCGTAAATGAAGTGAAACTGTACGTTAGTACATTCTACGTTCGAAACCTGCCCCGTGCGGTCCGATGATTGAACCGTGGTCGGTTACTCTTTTTGTCACAGAGAGGAGGAACTTCTGGTGCGCTGTTTTGAACGTTAGGATGGGTGAATGCAGAATGCAATACGCTAGCTCGCCTCGTCATACATGGGTTTTCCAGCTGCAAAAATGCTATGTTGTAGCTTTGACCAGAAACGATGACGTGCTTGGATAAAGCATTGAATAAAAAGTGAGAGATGTACGTACTGTACTACAGTACAGTATAGATACGTGACACCAAGACAAAATCTCTTTTATGATTGAATGGGACAACGTGGTTGGTCGCTTCACCCTTTGGTCGTCGGGGTCTAAGGAGCATGTCGCGCTTCAAGTAAAGTTCGCAACCGAAAACAGGCTGGCCATGATACAGCGAACGATTGCAGATGGGAACGAAATGCTTTGTGAAGTTTTCCGTCGCTCGTTTACGCAGGCGCTGTGATGGTTACGAGAACGATTCATTAGTTGAAATCACATGCCTTTGGTACTAACTAGTAGTACTCTAACGTTTTCGCAATGATTTCGTTGTGAGCGCTGCTGTAAAAATCCGATATTTTGACCAAGGGTTACGCAGTCCTCATTGACCCAAAACTTAAAAGGGACACCAATTTCCATCGAAATAGTGTTACCTACTACTCCGTATTAGTAGTAGTACTACGTCGATAGATCTTACTACATACTATTATAGTAGTAATATAGTAGTCTCGGATACTACGGGAACGGATTTGGGTTGCTTCGTGCGCCATGCTTGCCGCGCTTCAAGCACTGGCCCCGCGGCGGCAGGTTCTGCGCCAGTCCGCGGCGTTTGTGCGGCACGCTGCCATCGACACAAAGGTTCCGATCCGAAAGATTGTGGAGAACCATGTTGGCCGCAGCAAGTACAACGTGGTGAAGGAAATCGAGGTCGGGATATCATTGGTCGCGTCCGAAGTCAAGAGCATTCGCGACGGCAATTGCGATATCTCGGCTGCGTTCGCAGAGGAGTATGAGGGCGAGCTCTATGTGCATCAAATGTATATTCCAGGTGACCCCAGTCCATTGCGTCCGGCCAACTGACCGAGCGGCCTAGTGTGGAGGCACGGCATCGTCGGTCGGCATGATCCATACCGCGAACGCAAGCTCCTGGCCCATCGAAACGAGCTCAAGCGCATGTTTGAATTCGCCCGAGAGCCCAATGCACACCTGGTACGAACGTGCTTCATTTCATCGTCATGGTTTGACGCGGCAGGTTCCGTTGCGAGTACACTTGGGCACGACGAATTGGATCAAGATACAGCTCGGGCTCTGTACGCGACGCAAAGGCCCAGACACACGAAAGTCCGATGACGGGCGTGAAGTGAAGCGGCAGATTGATCGTGCGCTCAAGGGCCACGACGACTGAGTGTTGGCAGTTCGATCGACTGCAAGTCGCAGCGGCGTTGCCGGGGGCAAAGGGCCGACTTGTGCCGGCGAATCGGCTCATAAATGATCCATGCTATCGTGTGTTGGGCACGTTTCAAATCGTTGGGGGCGTATATTACGCGGACATGATGACTCGGATGTGATGGCTGCACACGATGCTGTCCACCACCAGGCTTGGCTGCGTTGTCCTTCAACCGGTAGGCATCTCGCCAAGTTGGCGATGGTCTGTTGCACTGACGACCTTGCTATCGCAACCATGCCGCCCACTGATGTGCATACCGCTTCGTCGTGGTCTCCTGGTTCGATACCTGCGCGACGTCATCCAGCACGAGATGACCACATGGCTTCCATGAAACCCATGGGCCTCGAATGCCCATCGTTCGGTTCACGTGGCTTGGAACACGAAAAGGCAGCACCGCCCATGATCCAAAAGCCATGACGGCAGTGGCTTGTATGCCGTTCAGATCGAAAACAGTGTGCCTGCGCTAGACAATATCAGTGCGATGGGGATGGTTGGTCGTATGGCGTGGCCGGGAATTGTCGCAAGCGCTGCAGCACCAAACTGGCCCGACACAAATGACATCTCCGCTGTCGCCGCAAGCGAGCACACACGTCAGGGAAGCCACCAATGCCACGAGCAGGACAATGTCTGTGTAAAAGTACACAACGCCTCGCCAGTACTCGTGCGGGTGCGCCAAGCACGCCTCGAGTCCGTTCGCGTCAAATACGAGCCACAACGCCAAGGCGGATTCAAACCCGATGCAGTACCCCCATTGAGTCCACGTTATCGAGTCGCGGACGACTGCCACGTGCATGGACGCTGCCGCGATACCAATCGTCGCTCCAAGGGCACACAGTCCAGCCTGCCATAAACTCCACAAACGACCAAGCATACTGTCCTGTCGTTGGTGCCCCATGCAGCTGAACGCGGTGAACACACACATGAAGACAGCGGTGGCCGTCGCGAAGAGCAGACTAATGGACACCTGGTTCATCCACAGGCCGAATCCAGCAGCCAACGTGCTTTGGGCCACGGTGAACAGCATGAGGACAACCCCGTTCCATCGATCGCGATGCTGAACCATGTACAGGACGAGCAACAGCGCCGTCGTGAGTCCACTCCACACGACAAGGATGAAGGGTTTCTGGACGACCCACCGTCCAACAAAGTCGCGCAGCTCAGGTGTCGAAACCATCATGGCAATGAGGGCTGCCACGACCACCAGTTGGCCAGCTAGCAACCCCAGAAGCCGCAATCGGTACTGCCGTTGAACAGACAGTGTTTCGGTGGCAGAGACCCGGGTAAAAGGAGGTGGATGGCCCAATGGGGAAGACGACGTTGCGGCAGCCACACGCTTTTGAATGTACGAGGTTCGGGAAGGCCGTGCCACGGACGTGTTGTCTTGTCGATGTCGGCATGGTGCTTCCATGACTGGCATCGGGGTCAAGACTGCGGAATCCCTTGACGGGCCTCGATAGGCACCACCGTGCCGAGGAGAAGAAGCGTCAAGCACCGCCACCGACTCGTCCATTGGCACCCGGCAGCAAGAAAGCGTCGCGGGCCATGTGAAACGGACAGCGGAACGGTGACGGTTTTTTATAACTGCTCATCCACATGCGATTCGCATGGTCAATGCAATGCTACGGAGGAGTCCGCATCAAGATCGGTCGTGCCTTAGCGACTTAAAGAAGCTCCATCCATTCGCGCACGGCATCGCCAGGGCTATCGTATCGCTTGGTCGTGTCGCGAAGCTGGTGCATGTAGTAGATGCCCATGTAGAATTCGTCAAAGTCCATCCGGGACGCCAGCGTGCTTCCTCGGCTCGCCCGAACAGCTTTTCGAAACATGAGCTCGGCGTCAGACCGACCGCCGTCCTTGTCGAGGCCGGCAATGTCGGCCATGAACCGGCAAAATGTGGTCGCTGTCATGGTCAAGCGGGTGTCCGACGACGCCACTCGCGTGGCACGACCACTGGCTGCTGGTGGTGGTGGTCCATTCCCACCGCTGTCGCAGTAGTACTCGAACAACGGCCACAGCATGCTCTCGATCTCTTGGCCGACGTAGCACGGTTTGGGATGTCTCGTGGCGGTGGCTGTCCAGGGAAGTTCGTAGAAAAATGTGTGGAGGCGTTCGCGAATCGACATGGATGTCGGGCGGCCTGCATATGTCGCCAAGATGCACGCGCCAAAGAGCCTGATGAACCCAGGGCATGTCAACATCAATGGAGGGTGCGCTGACGCAGACGAGTGTGCCTGGGACGACGAATGGTGTGGCGTCGCCATGGCCGTAAAGTAGCGCGCAATCGTGTCGGGGGCAAACACAACGGGAAAGAGCTTCAGGTCCTCGAAGAGCTTGAGCACCCCTTGAAGAGTCATCGCGACGTCGCGAGGGACCATCGCGTGGACAGCGAGTTGGATCTGTTGATCGAACGCACATGGAGACGCGGCTGATGTTGCCACAGCGTGCGGGGCAGCGTACTTTACAAACAGTTGCAAGAGGGGGGTTTGATAAGCGAGGACAAGGTCTCGCACTTGGGGGAGCGCCGCCCAGTCCTGGGGGCAGCCAGGGACCGTCGAGTCGACGGCGGATGGAGTTGGGAGAGCAGTTGGGGGTGACGAGTCGGTGGGATCGCCGTCGTCAGCGGGGTACGTGTGCTTCAACGACGCCTTGTCCAACACTGCCCGCTCGACAACTGCAGTTTCGTGCTCGAGCACCGCCAAGAGTTTTTCTTGATTTTGGATGATGTCGTCGCTCAGCTTGTTGTGTTTGCGCGTCCATGTTGCCGTCATCGATGGCGTAGCCGGTCGACCGACGTCTCCGTCGGACGCATCAATGAACGACCGCCAGAACCCCGCAAGACGTTGCCGCACACCGTCGTCCGCCGTGTTTGCTTGCATGTGCGTCAGGAACGCTGACAGCGCCGTCACAAACGCACGAAGGGTGATGGGTGGTGGTGGGAAAAACGAATCGAGCTGGGCTAGCATCTCCATGTCCTCGGCCAGTGACATGGGTCCTTGATTCGACACATCCTGGGACGACCGGCGACACAGCGTCGACTGGACAAGCTCGTAGCAGTTGTCCCAGGACATGGTGTACACTGGAGAGCTGCTGGCGCATGGGTTGGTCGAGCCGCCGGGCACACACGGACTAGACACATGATCTGCATGGATGCCAAACACTTGCATGAGCCGGTCAACAACGATGTCTTTGCTCGCTTGCAGGAGTTGAACAGGACACAGCAGAGGTGGCTCCACGACGTCATGTCGGTTGCCGCCGTCCGTGTTGTTCGGGTTGTACGGGTCGACACTCCACTCGATCGTGCACAGCGCCTGCAGCTGCGCTGACACTGACGCGTACTCCTCCGCGACGTCTTGGTTTTTGGACTCCTCCCGAAGCAACTTCTTGGTCAACACGTCGACCGCAAGGCGGGTGTCCTGGTGGACAAACTGACACCGTTCCAAGTCCCCCTGCAGCACTTGGTTGTACGCATCGAGCGACTTGGTGAAGCGGTCTCGTTCGTCCAGCTGGGTTTGAAGGTCGGCGACGGTGGCTTGCATGTCGCGCGTCGCCCGCCGGACGAGCGTGTGGTCATGCCATGCTTGGAGCCAAACCCGACAGCCTTCGCGCTCCACCCGCCGCACGACTGTCGCAACATACCCGTGCTTTGTCAGTTGCAGCTCCCCGCGCAGAGAGTTCACGCTGTCTTGCTGGGCCGCCAATTGTGTGGTCAGCATCGCATTGGCTTCGCGTACGTGATTCGCGGTGCGGGACAAGTCAAACACGCATTCTTTCGCTTGCTGGTACTCACGTGCATTGGTCGCCGCTGCATCCACGATTTCCTGCCAACCATGGGTGTCCCGGTGGTGCTTCCACCGCTGCAGCGCCAAACGCGTCGTGGCCGCCCAATGCATCGTCTGCCACGCTCGGAGTTTCCGGGCGCCTCGCTGGACTGCGTCGCGTTTGGCTCGTCCAGCTTGATCGATGGCTTTCCAACGGCAAAATGCTCGCTGCCGTGCTCGGGCCAAGTGGTTGCGTCGGCTGTTCGTGACCAAAAGCAGCGCACACTGCATCGCTGTCGCTCGTGTGTGGCGGCGGTACTCCTCAACCATTCGTTTCGCCTGAACCGCTTCATGGAAACCGACTTGAATGGCTCCCGCCTGTTGGAACTGGTAAAGCGCCCGTCGCAGCGTTTGCTGCGTGGCCGCGCGTCGACAGACGATGTCGGCAACAACATTGGCTGCCTCGAGTCGTCGGGATTTCGTGCGGCGCACTTCGTCGCGAAACGCATGCCACGCGGCTTGCAGCAATCGTTGGCGGCGGTGGCGTTGCTGTTGGCGCACGGCAAACTCTTCCCATGCACATGCCCGGACACTCCATGTTGAGTCGACATCGTTTCGCTGCAGTTGCAACGCGGCAGCCAGTTGCGCTTCCAGTGACTGAATGGTCTGTTCGTGGGCGTGCTTCTCACGTGTGAGTTCCTGGATCCTGCTCACGTGGGTCGATATCGTGGCTCGGGCCGTGTTCAGTTCCGCGCGAAGGGATTGTGTGTCTCCCAGGTACGACTCGAACGCTGCCAATTTCTGGTCGAGTGTTGCTAAAATCGTGGTCGTTGGAGGATGGGCTGCCAACGATGCCAAGGACGTCGAGGATTCGTTGTCAAGAGAAGCGTCGGACGAGATGGCGGGAGTAGATGGCGGAGGAAGGGTCCGTTTGATGGGGGCCACCATTTCCATCGTTCCCCGCCGAAGCGTCTGCCACAGGTCTTGGCGTTGTGATTCTTCCAAACTCATCTTGGTGGGGACTCGTGTCGTTGTGGGGGCGGCCAAAGGTGGGGTGGTCGACGGCGGAGCAAGTGAAGGGTTCGGGGGGGCGGTCGACGCGGATGTAGCTGCAACAGAGTTACTGAAAGACCGTCGCTTTGGTCGGACACCGTTCGGAAGTGAACGAGTCGAGCTTTCATCTTGGAGAGCTTGTTTGACGGATTGCATGATGCCATCGTCCATTACGAGCTGCGTCCAAGCGGTCTCGTCGTCCGTGGGACCACCGCCTTCATTGAAAGTCTTCTCCGCGACAGCAAAAACGTCGTCCAAGTCAACACGACGAAGACTGCCGGAGGACCTTACGCGCTGAGGCCCGAGGTCTTCGGCTGGGAGGAGCTCCTGTGCCAGAGGGGCAAGCGGCTGGACGTTGCTGTCTGAATGGTTGTGTAGTCGGGGCAGCGAAAGCATGCTTTGGGAAGGTGCAACGGGACGTGATGGTGGCGCAGGTGCACGAGTTCGACTTGGGTCGTCGTCACGTACGAGAGCAATGGGACGTTTGGTTGGCGCGACAGGAGCTTGTGAAGCATCGTCCTCGGAATCGCTCGAAGTGGCATGGTTGGGCGCGGTGAGTCTCGAGAGTTCGTCATCCGTAGGATCGACACTGGTCTCTTGCCATCGCCATGGCATTTCCTTTGACGGGTGCGCGGCAAACGACAACGATGCACGAGCGACTCGCCCGACGTCCTCACTCCCTTCGCTTTGCATCGTTGGTGGTGGTACTGTCGTTCCGAGTGACATGGGCCGGTTGCTTCTTGAAGGCAGCGGATCAAACGGAATTGTCGTGTGGGCGTCTGCCAGAGTTGGGAAGGAGTCATCATCCCATGGATTGGGAGATGGAGAAAATGTCGCTTGCGGTCGCGAGGTTGGCTGAGTTACCGGTGGGAACGGGTCTTGGGAGGTCTTCGTTTTCGTTGGGCTGGCGGACGCCACGCCGTCGGCCTTGGTCGGTTCAACCATGATGTCGAAGAGCGATTGCATTCCTTTGGATTTGTCGGTGGCCGCCTGGACAGCACGGGGGCCTGGATTGTGTGTGCCCTTGTCGGGGCTGCTGCTCCCGTCAAATACGATATCGTCCCACGCAGCATCAAACTGAACATCGTCGAGATCGCCCGAATCCGTCGAGTGACGGTCGTCGTCCATTCCGTCGCCCGCCGCCACCGCTTCAACGGCGTGTGTGCCCCTTCAAGAAAGGCCCACAAGGAGTTTCATATTGTAACCGATCCAGGCAGAACATTACGAACCATCTCGTGACACTTTTGTAGCTATCCTGCTAGCTACGCTACAAGTAGGGCGACTGCAATCATGGCCACGCTCCACGTCAGGATGCCGCTGGGACTGGCGGCAGCATTTGGCATGACAGTTGGCGTGGGGGCCTTTGTTGTTACCGCCAAGCGCATGGGGCCAGGAGCCACCGTGGTCGTCTCCGTGGAAGGCGCTGTCGTCGGGGTGGAGGACGAATTGTCGGTCGCAGTGGTAGATGGAGCAGGGACACTTGTAGCTGGCTGGGACATGAGAGGCGGCAACACCGTTGTGTTGGTCGTGCCGTTGGTTGACGATCCACCGTTGCGACTTGACGCATTGGAGCTGATGGCAATCACAAACGGTGGGACAAGAATCACTTGGATGGGCGGCGCCGTCGCGTTCAGAGTAGTTGGCGGGCGATACAGGATCGGGCACGACGATGCGACATACGCAGTGCCGTCCGCTGCCTGGCAGCACGACTGGCGACTCATGCGAGGGCTAGGAGCTTGGCGAGCCATCAACGAGAAAATCGTCCCGTTGCAACATCCCTCGCTCGCCGGGTCCATGCACGCAATCCCGCAGTAATTGGTCAAGTTGCACGAATTCGACGATGGCATCGATTGTGTGGCCGTGAGGGCTGCAAGAAGCCCCAGCACGAGTGCTGTCACGCATGCTGTGCGTGGCATCGCGGTAATCGTGTTTTGAACGCTCCTCCGCGGCAAATACAACAACGCACGCCACCGTTGGGACGTCGACATGTCCGTTGTGCTAACGACCGAATCCAAACCCGTCCAGACGTACGGATGGATCGGGCGGTGCACAAAATGTGCATGAAATCGATGCAGTACATTCAACCAGACAAAGCTGCTTTAGAGAAGGTTGTCGTCGCCTGGTGCCACGTCAAGGACGGATCCTATGTCATCGCCGTTGTCGAGTGGCACGACGTCAGATGCGGCGGTCGCACTGGTGTCGTTTGTGGCAGTAGCGTCCAACGTGAGGATGCTTGGGATGGCGACTGTTGCTGCTTCTTGTTGGCGACGGCGCCGGTGATCTTCTTTGACAAGTAGAGCCAGGACGGCCGACAACGCGACGAGCACAGCCACGCCTGTGGCACTCTCCGACGTGGACAATCCGGGGGAAGACGTTGTCGCTGTCGTCGTGTCGGTGCTCTTTGTTGTTGTGGCCGCCAGCGCGACGGCTCCGTCGCTCTGAACGCTTTGGCTCACGTCTTTGGGAATGGCCACGGTTGGAGGGCAGACGACGTATTGCCCCACTGGAGTCTTTCGACAGAACCGACAAATCTTGGCAAAGCAGCCGAGCCCCCCGACGGCGCAGGTTGGGTCGTAATACGCCCCCAAACCAATGTTTGCATCCCCGATGGAGACGCTGCAAAGCGGGGCGGGAGGGGGCGTCACTGTGTCTATGGTATATCTCGGCGCGACGGTCGTTGTTGTCGTGGGTCGGACAGTCGTCGTACTTGGAAGCGACACGGTGGTGGCAGCAGGCCAAGTTGTAGTGGTGGTAGGGGCTTTAGTGGTGGCGGGCGTCGTTGTAACGAGGGATGGCACGGTGCACGGGCCCAGTCGCCAGGATTGACTGGTCGTTCGAGTCTGGCAATACCGGCATCTGTTGGCAAAGCAGCCAGCAAGAATGCTGTTGGGACAACTCGAGTCGAACACGGCCGATATCCCAGCAGATCGGTCTCCATCCGACACTAGACTGGCACAAGAACTAGTCACGACCGGTGGCTCTACCACAGGCGTCGACGGTGGGGGCGTTGTGGTTGTGGGGCGTCCAGTTGTGGAGACAGGGGTGGCTGTCGCTTGCGGCGTTGATGGTGTGGTCGGCCGCGATAGAGTCGTGAACGGGACAGTCGGGGCTGTTGTCGGTGTCGCAGGCATGGGAATATCACAGCGACTAAAGCGCCACGATTGACTGGTCGTTCGAGTCTGGCAATACCGGCATTTGTCTGCAAAGCAGCCAGCGAGGACGCTGTTGGGGCATTTGGGATCGCGCATGGCCGAGATGCCGACGGCTTGGTCCCCGGACGATACGAGACTGGCACATGTGGGTGCTTCTGTCGAACAAGGGGCGAACACACGAGAGAGGGGAGTATCCCACGCCAGGCAAAAGCGGCATCTTGACAAGAAGCAGCCCGTGCGGTTGTTGTCCACGGAGCACGCGAGGTCTGACATGGCGGAAATGCCGACGGCGGCATCGCCAACCGACACAAAACTCGCACAAGCGTCCGAAGTCACGGGGGCTCGGGTCGTGGCCAGTAGAGGCGACGTAGTGCTGCCGGCGGCACGACGGCTCTCGAACGGGCAAGGCAGGAAGGGTTGACCGGACGGACTGAACGACAGTTTGCAGTACCGACACTTGTTGGTGTAACAACCGATTCCATGGCACGGAAAGTCCGAGTAGGCGAGGATCCCTTGTTCGCGGTTGCCGACGTCGATGCCTTCCAGGCACGGGTCGCCGATTTGGCACCAGTCCAAGTTGATCGGCATGTCCAAGCTGAACGTTTCTTTGGTCGAGAACGACGTGCGCACCCACGCATCATCGAGCGTTTGCATGGCCGTGCCCCGGGTGGTGCAATCGGTGACTGCTGTGGACGCCAGCGCCGTCCGAAACGCGGCGCGGACGACAACGCCGTCGCATCCCGACGTCGGACAAGGGAACGTCGGCTCCGACCGCGGCATGCGCTGCATCAATCGCAAGACCAACAAGTCCGTCGCCGTGTCGTAGAAGAAGCAATTCACACACGTGCGATCCACGATCGACTGCGCGCGAGCGAGGGGTTGATTCGCGACGTTCATGACCGACGCGATCGTCGTGCCTCGCGGGTAGCAGATCGCTACAGTGTGGATGTCGCCTTGTTGACCGTTCACGATGTTGAGTCGAAGGATGGGTGGCGTTCGAGACGTGAACCCCATCACGTACGTCGCTCCCACGGACAAGGACGGGTGGTAGAGGTAGCCTCCCGCCGCTGGAATGTACTGGCCTTGGAAAGACAGCCCAGGGGCGGTGGCGCCGCCGCTTCGACTCGCCAAATTGGCACGGGTCACAAACAGTTCGCCGTACTTGGCCAAGTTGGTCGCGTCACCATCCACCTAGCGCATGAATGTCAGGTGGTCGGTGCTGCGACGTCGACACTGCGATCGACCAAGCAGTACCTGCACGACTTCAATGTTGTTGTAGCGTTGGGGGCATGCGAGGCCGTACCCGGCGTTGCGGACGCAAGACGGCGTGTAGTAGAAGTCCCAGTCGGGTGCAATGACTGCGTTCCGTTGCCCTGGGTCCGGCACCGTGAACTCCTCGCATATGGCCACCACGAGCGCCACCAACCTGAGATCGACCCATCCGAGTCGAGAATCAACGTCGTCTTGCCGCCATCGCTGACTCGGTCGTACACGAACACTGGGAACGGCGTGTTGATGAACCGGTTGCTCGTGCTTTGAGTCGTCGACGCCATCATGAACGTGTTGAACGCCCGCGCGCCCAACGCGGTCGAGTAGTAGTTGAAGCACGGGTACGACATGTAGTTTTCGAACGTGGTGTTTTCAATGTAGTGCGGCCCGTCGTACAGCGTGACGGCCATCTGCATGACGTCGGCCAGCAGCAGCGCGCTGTCCGATCTACGTGTCGACGCATGAGTTGCCGCTGTGCCACGCATTCGTACCGGGCCTCGATGTAGTTGACCTTTTGGAACGCACTCACAAACAAGTTTCCTCGGTTGGACGAGCTCCCGACAAACCGAGAGTTTCGAATCGTCCCGTTGATGGGCATCGTGGCCGTGTTGCCCGTCGTGAGGAATTGAATGCCTGCGACAAAAGTCAGCGTCGTCGCACCGACGACACACTTGGGTGCCGGTACCTTCTCGGCAATCGGCCACATTCCAGTTGTCGAGGACGACTTGAAACAGGCGAAACCACCCGCCTTGGCGCGCATGATGCGCCGTAAAGTTGGCGATGACCGTCAGTGCTGTCGGTTCATATGCCAGCGATGGAGCGCCCGTGTAGTCTTGGGGTGGTTCGTCGTCTTGGTCAAAATCGACGCTGTCGATGCGAAACGCATTCCAGACCGAATGCGCGCTGTTGCCCGTGCACTTTCGTAGCGGCGTCTTGTGGGGGGCCAACGTTGGGTACAGACCGGTGCGGAAACTCGGCAACTTGGCCCGTGCCCGCGTGTGGAGCCAAAATCCGCTGCCCTCGACGCCCGCCGCCACGTTGTCCTCAAACACGTTGTCCGGGTTCGTGATCCAGTACGCCGACAGGCCCTGCAGCGCGTCCGACCCGAGGCGAAATGCCCCCGACGTCTTTTGCCGCACCCACGCCACCAAGTTGCCGCGAAACGTGTTGTTGAATTCGGCCCCGTCCTCCAAGAACATGGCATGGCCCGTGATATTGTACGCTACATTGCGCTCGACAAGGACGCTCTGGGTGCCGTGAATCGTGATCGCTCGCATGTACGAACAGTGGATCGCACTAGCTTTCACAAACGAATTCGTCCCAGCCACGTTGCCCGTCAAGTGAAAGTGAATGGGGTATCGCCCGATGATGTCGCCTTGGCCGAACGCACGCACCTCGACGCCGCTCAACTGGGCGGTTCGAAAGTTTGGGCTCATCTAGCGCGAATCGATGGCGTGTCAGCGAATGGCCATGTCGTCGACTGTACCTTGAGATGCCCGCCCACGACACCACTGCCAGTGCACCCCACGAGTTGAATGTTGCGGCTGAGCAGCCCGACTTCGGCCCGCTGGTCGACGCCTTGCGTGTACGCACCGTAGTGCATAAACTGAAGGGGCGAGTCGATTTCGACACAGGTGGACCGAAACCCCGTGATCGTCCGGCGCTCAGTCAATGTCGGGTCGAAATCGGTCGTGGTAATGACGATCGAGTCGCCAATGGCCCATTCATCGTTGACTGTCGAGTCGGCCAACGTGATGCAAGTCGTGCCTTCGACCGCTGTCATCGCGAGTTTGGTCCATGGCACGCGTGTGCCCTTCTTCCCAAAGAGCTGCACACTCCCGCCCTCGCGCACGTTGATGCCATACCGGCGGTCGTCTGTCGCCGCATACAGCGCGGGCTTTTCACACGCCAACGCCAACACAGCCGACCGCGTGTACGGTGACGTCGCGCTGCCAATCGACAACGTACCAAAGATTTCAACGTTGCCGACTTGAAGGGTCACGTCGCAGGTCGGATCAAATGTGACGGCCCCGCCCGCTTCAATCGTGAGCTGGCCGCGCACGGTGTTACTGTTGCGCAAGACGAGGGTTTGGCCACTCGGGACGACATAGTTGCCAGCCTCCGTTCTGTTTTCCCACACCACGACGACCTGCGCTTCTGCGGGCTGGATCGTGGCGAGTGGGAGCAGTAGCGCCACAGTGGCGCTGAGTAGTCGTCCAGCAAGCATGGGGGGTGCAACTGGGGGTGGAAGTACTGCTGTCGACAGCAAGTGCAATGTGAAAATGAAGTTGCCAAGACTGCAGCGATTTCATCGCGTCAAAGCAGCGGCGTCGGTCCTTCGATGGCCGCAGTAGGAACGAGACGGGAGGAGTCTGCGTGGGGGTATGCACAATCTCCGAAACGGCACGTCCAGCACGTTCGGCGACATCTCGTCCGCGAACTTCACGGCACACATGACGGATGGTTCTTGGCCTGGGCTTGCGGATGGAATTCAAAACGGACCAACGGATCTGTGCGGCGAAGTTGGCGTGGTGGTCGTGAACAAGTCGGTCAGCACCGGTCGCGCATTCGAGCGGGGGGGATGGCTCGGGAGGTTTATGCGAGTGGATTCATCTCGGACGGGGTGCTTGCCGCGACACGAGCTCCGTTCCGCGAAGGGCCGACCGCCGCACCGCGCGCTCCACCGAGCAGCATGCCCCGTTTTTCGCTCGAGATTTGAGCGACTTAAACCAAGCGTGGTGTGTTTGCCTCGTTGAGATGACTCGTCATGCGGCATCGAGCGCCAAAATCACAGTGGCCGACAATTCATGTCCTTGTTCACGCACTGCCCGTGCATCTTGTACCAGAGTCGACTGCGGCACCTCACTTGTGACGACTCGTTGCGGCCAGCGCAGCGCTAGCTTCGCGCCCCTTCGGCGTGCCAGGGTGGTGGGCAGTATACTGTCTCGGGCGAGGTCAACGCATGGCCACTAACGTAGGCTCTCCGTGATCAGCCGACTTTCAGCTTCCCAAAGAGGAAACCTCGCGCGATTTGTACCACCGCCAGACATGACGTCCATTCATCGAGACATGTTGAACTCGATGAGTTGTGGTCATCATCTCTTGCTTCAACAATTCCAAAAATAGAGTAAAAAAATGTACTTAAACACGGCGACTCTCCATGATTATTACTAGTATAATATACGTGTTACGCGTTATCTTAACCTCTGGGGGTACAAATTTCACATACGTGAATTCGAGACTGGCAATGTCTTTCTCCTGACACACGCATCGCAGCAAATTTCTTGGGGAGGGCGTCGACCCGCGCTTGCCAGCGGCGCCGCGGGTTCTTAGTCGGGCGGTGGCCTAATACATCGTCTACATTCATATCCGTGTCACCGGTCGTGGGGGGCGATCTGCGGTCGAGGCTCGTGTCGTCGTGATCTTCTAGGTCAGGCACTTGCACACGCCTCGATCTTGGGCCGTGGTGCGGATGACGTCGAGGTCTTCTTCAGTAGTGAGCAGTGTGACCGACATGACAAGTCGAATTTATACTCAACTAAACTCGACGGATATACGAACAGCAACACCATCACACATATCATACTATAGAGGTTTATCCTTTTTGTACAGGTATCAAAGCTTGAAGGACGGGGGCGAAAAAAAATCGTTTGTCTTGGGATGTATTTCGAGGTGATGCCTCTGAATTCTAATGGAAGTCTCATCAAAAATGCTGCGGGATTTCGTTGCTGGAGGATTCAACATTTCATCCAATCACACGATTTTTGCGATTCTATTGGAGGATAATGCTCGGCCAATCGCTGCGAGGCGTCGTTACATGCATTCGCTGACGTACTTGAGGGCGGCTTCGAACATGGTCAAAAAGTACCCGGTTTCGCCAAGCATCTTGTTGGGATGGATCATGGCGCTGAGGAACTCCTTGGCAAAGTACGGGCGCTTCAAGTTGCTGTGGACGACGGCATAGATGTGAATCGGGAGAAAGTCGTCGGCGTTCATCGCGGAATTCGCGTGCCCGATAAACGCGCACGAGGTATCGCCACACGCGGAAAAGATCTCGTTGGCCGACAGCACCAACTCTTTGAGTTTTTCGTGGGGCAGGACCCGGTCTTCCATCATGCTCAAGTGGTAGCACGCCTTGCCAAAATTCATCTCGCTCTGCAGCGCCTCCGGAATGCCAAAGAAGCTCTGGGACTTGCCGTACAAATCGTGCTCCATGCTGCGCGTGACGGCAGCTTCCACTTTCGCGTCGATCGTGAGCTCCACGAGAAACGTAATTTGTTCTTGCAACGGCACCATGACCGCATCTTCCACCGTGACGAGGACGCACTCCTCGATAGCGTCGTCGACTTCCTCCATCGTGTGGCTGTCGCACATCGCGGTCGAGATCGCCCGGCGGTACTGCGGCCCGAGCGTGTCCAACACATAGTGCTGGATCTGCGTCGTGACATTTCGGAGGTCGTGGAGGGCTTTCCGCGCCAAGTCCTCGTGGCCGCCCGACGTTGAAACGACGCATGCCTGGACCACAGCGCATCTGTTCCGAAAGACATGCAGAAAACGCTGGCACGTGTCGCCTTCAATCGTGCAACACGAGTTCAAATTCCGAAACAAGTCAAATGCCAGCCACTTGAGCTCGATCAAGTCGTGGGGAGATGTTGGCGGCACTGAGTCGTACGTCGACTGCGACGGACCGACTTCGTTCGACAAGTGCGTGATAAAGGCGGCAGAACACAGCTCCATCTGGAGCTTCCCAACCACGGCGACATGCAGCGGCGTGTCCGGCGACAAACTCGCGACGTTGCGGAGAAAGGCTTCCAGCACCAGGCGTCGCCGCAGGATCATGTCCGACGAAACCTTTTGCACAGACCGACGGGGAAACTGCAAATGGTCAAACAGGTACGTGAGGTCGTCGCCATACGGAGAACTCTTGCACATGGCTTTGATCTCGCGGCGGAACGCATGCAATTCCCGGAAGCGTTTGCGGCAAACCCACATCACCTTGGTGTGCAAGTCGACAACATGGATGACATAATAGGCGACGGCACTTGGACCGGCCCGCTCGGCACGCACCACACGCACAGACATCCCGGGACGAATCGATGGAAAGTCTTGATTCCATGTTTCGTACGACGACAAGCTCATGCTGCGCGGTCGTTTGCGGTGTTTGGATGGGGTAAAATCAAGCGGGGGAAGAGGTGGCAGGTCGATGGGCGATGGCGCTGACGTGGGTGGTGGAGTCGCCAACGACGTGGACACAGAGTCCGCTTGCGATTGCGACGACGTCGACATTGGTGGACGTGCCGGAGGCGCAGATTGCGTGAGAACCCGCGATTGCCGCGTATGCACGTTGCGTTTGCCCAGTAGTTCGGCCACGATGGTGTGAAACCGGAGAGCAATGGATGTCGACGTGCGGTGGCCGAGCAGTGTCCACGGCGACGTGTACTTGGCAGGTCGTCGTCGCGCGGAGGGAGTTGCCTCGGCTAGGATCGTCACGTCGTCTTCGTGGGGGTGGGCAAGGACGCTGATGCGGTGGATGTCGCTGAGGTGCTCTCCAAGCGCCACCAGCATGCGATGTTGGAGGAGGTCGTGGCCAGTGTGGTCAACTGCCACAACACCGTCGCGATGGCGCAAGATCCGGATACTGACTCCAACGGAATGTATCGTTTCAACCAATCCAAATCATCTTCTCCGCCAAATCATAGTTTTAGCCAATCAAAACCGACCAAATTTCTCAGCTTATCCGGATAGTCTCGTGTGACACTGTCATCCAAACGGTTATCTGTAATTGGCATAGTACCGCTCAATATATGTCATCAAAATATTTCT